TTTTTTTTTTTTTTTTTTTAAGTTTATATATATATATATATATATATATATATATATTTTTTTTTTTTTTTTTACAAATATGACCTGTAAGCGGATCTCAACCCTTGGCTTGGTGTTGTCAGCACCACGCTCAGCCAGTGAGCTAATCGGCCATCCCTATATAGGATCTGAACCCGCGGCCTTGATGTTATCAGCACCGCACTCTCCCGAGCCAGCCACGGCCCGGCCCTCAAATATATATTTTTAATTAAGCTTTTTTTTAAAAAAAAAAATTTAAGTAACAGGTACTTAGCATTTCACCAAATGGACAGAACCAAAGATAGAGTGAAAATTAAAAGTTCCCATCCCCGGGGCTGCTTCTGAAAACAAGTTCTGGAAACGAGATGCAGGAAACTTTCTAGGTGTATACAAATGTATGCATGAATAGAATTGTCATTCTGTGAGTAGCTGTTCTCCATCATTGGGGAGTGTGTGTCATGTGGCAGGACGATAAAGGAAATAATACTGGTTTTGTAGTGCCTTGGCATCCGAGTTCTCCCTCCATGGTCTGCTTGGGGCTGGGGCTGGTTCCGACTGTCCCTCAGCGCTTTGGGGGTGTCGGATGTGAGTGGAAAGAACACGGGCCCCACCCTGGAGGAGGCTTTGGATTTGAAGTGACATTCCCCAAGAAGTGTTGAGGGATGTATTGGAATGGGCCCTGAACTGACTCCCAGGTTATTTGGATTCTTATCCAGGCTCTGTTGGCTGGAACTGTGCAGGGTGGGGGTTCTCACCTGCAAAGTGAGGGGCTGCATGATCTCAGGCCCTGCCAATGTGAAGAGGTGGTGGTTCCAGGAAGCAGGGTTTCGCCTCAAACTTTGTTGCTTACTGCACCTCACTCTTACACATACTCGCGACAAGGGCCTGCAAACTCTTTGTCCCCAGATTGGTGGCCTGTTTGTTGTTTGGCCAACTTGGCTGTCACCTGGGGCTCAGAAGCATTCTTTAGTAGAAAATGAGGTCCTAATGGCTCATGTGAACTACCATGGTACCTTTAGGTCATCTGAACGACATGGCCTTGTTTTCTCCTCCTCTCCCTTCTCTCACCTGCTTCCTGTCACTCCTGAACCCACGGGTTCTACTACGAAGCTATGACTTGGCCTTGATTTTGGTAGGATTCCCAGAGTAAAGGACTCTCATAGTCACAGACGTGCCATTACTGGTGTTGTCCCATCTTAAGAAAATTGTCACCCCACCAATTTACCAGCCCACGTATTTCCCCCCTTATCTCTCCCATTCTCAAGAAACACATAGATAGGTTCCTGTTCAGCTGACATTTTCTTTTTTTTTTTTTTTTTTTTAAAAGATGACCGGTAAGGGGATCTCAACCCTTGACTTGGTGTTGTCAGCACCACGCTCAGCCAGTGAGCAAACCGGCCATCCCTATGTGGGATCCGAACCCGGGGCCTTGGTGTTATCAGCACCGCACTCTCCCGAGTGAGCCACGGGCCGGCCCTCAGTTTCACTCAATATTATTCTCTCAAGGTCCATCCATGTTGTTGCAACTGGCAGTATTTCATTCGTTTTTCTTTTTTTAAAGATGACCGGTAAGGGGATCTTAACCTTTGACTTGGTTTTATCAGCACCACGCTCAGCCAGTGAGCGAACCGGCCATCCCTATGTGGGATCCGAACCCGGGGCCTTGGTGTTATCAGCACCGCACTCTCCCGAGTGAGCCACGGGCCGGCCCTCAGCTGACATTTTCTGAACACCACTAATCACATTCTAGTTCCTGTACTAGGGGCTTTCTTTCCTTTGTTTTTCAAAAAAGTTAATTTACACTCAAAATATACATAGCAAAAATCACTCATTTTGGTATTCAGGTCTATAAGTTTTGATAAATGCACTGAGTCATGTGTCTGTCGCCACAGTCAAGATGCAGAACAAGTCCATCACCCCCAAAATTTCCTCTTGCTGCCCTTTTATGGTCTTCCAGCCCCTACCACTGATCTGTCCTCCACCTCTTTTGCCTTTTCCACAATGCCCTATGAATGGAACTATACAGTAGAGAGCCTTTTTCTTTTTTTTTTTTTGGCGTCTGCTTGGTACAAGGATTGAACCCTGGACCTTGGTGTTGTCAGCACCACACTCTAACCAACTGAGCTAACCGGCCAGCCCCCAGTAGGTAGCCTTTCAAGTCTGGCTTTTTCCATTTAGCATAATGCATTTGAGATTCATTCATGTGTTGAGTGTATCAACTGTTGGTTCCTTCTGTTTATCACTGTGTAGCATTCAATTGTGTGGATGTGCCATACAAAAAAACAAAAAACAAAACAAACACATGGAAGAATGGATTTTGCTTATCAGTTCTTCCATGTGCTTTTTTGTTTTGGCAGCTGGCACATATTGGGATCTGAACCCTTAACCTTGGTGTTAGGAGTCTGCACTCTAATCAACTAAGCTAACCAGCCAGCCCCATGTTTGTTTGTTTTTTTATCAGCAGCTCCTTTGAGATATCATGTCCCCATTAGACAGAGGAACTAGAAATTGGAAGTGCTAAGTAGCAAAGCTAAATTTTGATCTAACCCTAAATCCAGGGTTCTTTCCCAACACACCCAGGAGCTGATTTGGCCAAATGACCCAATTAGCGTTTCTTCACTGTCCATCTGAGAGGTTGTCAGGGTTCTAGAGTTTCTGGAGAATTCCCGTTTAGAAGTGGATCTTTGGATCAAAGGAGAAGAGAAGTTAATGAGTCACCATATATGCTCTGCTTTTCTGTCTGGTAACAAGCTCACCAGCATTAGGATGGTAGAGCTGCCCACACTGCATCCTGCTTAACAAAAGGTTGTCTCCGTTGGTCCCGGAGTTGACTGTGCTGGGTCTGACAGGGAAGTAATGTCACGCCTATCACAATAGGAGTGTGACAGGCCCATTTCATTCCCAGGAAGGAAAGACCTAACCCCTGGGCCTCCCTCTGCAGCGATGTCCGAGCTCAGTGACGAGGCCAGCGAGCCGGAACTCCTGAGCCGCAGCTTGTCCATGTGGCATGGGCCGGGAACGCAGATCAGCCGGGAGGAGCTGGATGTCCCCTTGGACCTTCACACGGCTGCCTCCATCGGCCAGTATGACGTGGTGAAGGAGTGCGTGCAGCGGTAAGAGGACATGGGAGCCTGCCTTCGCCCACACGACAGGGGCTTGCACCCAGTTGGAGACACTTACTGCATGTGGGATATGTCAGCCCCCCATCTCAGGCAGTTGAATGCTGACAAGGAAGGAAGACAAAGGCAGTTTAAACTTTTATCGTAGGCTTATAAAGAGTAATGCATAGTTTCGTTGAACCAGAGTAGTTTTGTGCTTTCCACTGATTGCAGAAATGCCAAAACAAATAAACAAACAAAACAAAAATAAAATTGGAAAGCGACACCCTGGGGCCTTCTTTTCCCAGAGGGTTCATTTGAATCCCTCATGCTCTCCTCTCCCCTCTAGCTTCTGCTGCAGAAGAGGAGAGAGGCCGAGCCTTTAGCTCCCTGCTGGGGATGGCCTCCTGACCCCCCTACCCACCTGCCAGTTTTACTAATCTGTGTACAAATAACGAAGTCCCAGTGCAACAAGGAGCCCATGGTGGGGCCTGTGGCTATGTATTGCTCACAGTACAATGTGACACTTCATGTAATTTTTGGAAAGGGTTTGTCTCCTCGCCTCCACCCCTGATGTTCCACCATGCTTCATGCTTCCTCTGTTTCCATTGCTCGTTTGCTACCTTGGTGCAATGGATCTCTGTCTGTGCCTCCGTGTGCCTTTTCCAGTTCCTGGTGAGCCAAGGCACAGTCTCGATGAATTCCCAGTTGTCAAGGCATAGCCATCACTTGCAAGCACTAGGCCAGTGGAGTACAGTTGCACCATCGGTAAAGGGTGGCCTGTGGAATTCCTTTACCCAGTGGCCTTAGGGATAAGTAGCTGAGTATGCAGTCAGCACACCCGCTCACAGCATCATCAAGGCCCCTGTTATACTTCTCTCCTTTGGAATTCACAGGCTCTTAAGTCTTTGGGTGTCCTGGTAAAGTGCATAGAACAGCTCCAGAGGAGAAGAGGTGAGGTGTTTGGGTTCTGACTAGGGTTTTGGCCCTAGCTGAGATGGAGGCCTGGTGACAGTAAGCACAGCCTGGGGGCCCGAGGGCAGCTGGAGGCATCAGAAGGGAGGACAGGGCTGAGGGAGGCCCAAGAGCCTCAGAGAGATGCCTTGCCTGGGGCAGATTCCTTTCTGTGTGAAACTAAGCACTGCATAGTGGTAGGTAGTGTGCACATAGACTGGGTCGCTTCGAGTCCCACTTCGGAGGCTCCTCCACACAGCTCTCCTGGCCAGTGGCTGCCACTGTGTTCCTGGAATCAGGACCTTCTGGAATGGCTGCCTGGGCCTGCATCCCTGAGTCAGAGTAGATGCTTGTGAATGGAAAGTAACTGCCTGGTGTGGCTTACTGTGTGTAGTCTGTTGTGAGGCACCCTCTGACAAGAAATGCACTTACACACCACTCATGCAGAAAAGGGCAGTTTATTCACTCCAGCTGGCCAGTGACCATCTCCCAAGGGGCAACCAAGGAAGAGCGGTCTTCCTTGGTCTTGTAGGGTTTTTAAAGGCAAAAACTACATCCTGTTAGCACACAGGTTTTTCCAGGTGCACAAAGCAAGATAGGGAGCTAGGTCACAAAGGCCAAGAACGAGCCGTTCGAGCAATCAAGCATACAAGTTTTCATTGTGTATGGCTCCTGTTTCTGTGCAATTGTTTTTTGTTTCTATGAGAAGGTCAGTGGTTTCTCATGCAGAAGTGGGGGTAGTCTGCAGGTCATACAGGGGGCAAAATGGAGTTACTTAGGTTAAGCAAGCAATTTTACAGAAGCAGCGTATGTTATGAGGGTGTAGGGAGCTCTATTTCATTCCCAATTCCTCTTTAGGAAGGAATCAAATCGTTGATTCATCGGTACTTAATTTGTTGTCCTTAGTATGTAAGACAAGGAGTTTGACTGTACTCATTAACCAAGGTGACCAGGAAAAAGATTTTTAAACCAATTTTTATTATTACTATATGACTCTTCTCTTTTTTAATTTGTTTTCTGACTAATGCAAGGCTGTCTGTAATAACACCTGAATGGTTGGTATAGAAACAACAGGTTTTTCTAGAGCTACATATAATCCACCTTGTTGGTCTGATTGTATGGATTATATATGGGTGCAGCTGCTGCTACACATTCAGATAGGTCCAGCCTCTGTGTAGGACACAATGACCACAGCAAAGAGGAAAAAATTAACTTTTTACAACATTGTCAGATTGACCACTTGGTGTAAATATTTTTATCAAAGCACTTTACATTTTAAAATTGTTATTTAATTGGAAAAACTCTCAATAAACTAGGAATAGAAAGCACCTTTCTCAATCTAATAAAGTACATCTACAAAAAGCCCACAGCTAACATCATACTTAATGGTGAAAAACTGGGTGCTTTTCCCAAAAACTGAGGAATAAGGCAAGCATGTCCAGTCTTGTCATTTTTATGCAGCCCTATGGCCAGCATTGTATGCTAGCCAGTTTACTCATGACAAAGAAAGAGGTCCAGATTGGAAAGGAACAAGTAAAACTGTCTTTATCCATAGACGGTATGATTCTGTGTGTAGAAAATACTGAGGAATCCATACAAAAAGCTACTAGAACTAAACATGTTTGGCAAGTTTGAGGACCTGAGATTAAAATGAAAAAAGCAATTGTACTTCTGTATACTAGCAATGAACAGTCTGAAAATGAACTTAACAGTTTCATTCACAATAGCATTGAGGAGAATAAAATGTTTAGGAACAAATTTAACAAAAGCATGCAAGACTTGTCTGTTGAAAACTATGAAATACTGCCAATAGAAATTAAAGACAATCTAAATAAATGCAGAGACATTTCATGTTCACGGACTAGAACACAGTATTGTTAAGATGCCAGTTTTTCCCAATTTGATTGATAGATTCAATGTAACCCCCCTCAAATTTCAGGAGGCCTTTTGCAGAATTGACCAATTGCTTTTGTCGGTGGGTAGGCCTCTCTGACCAAGGGGTGAATATGGCATAGACTAAAGAAGGTTATGGTTAGTGATTTCAGCAAGTTTATCATCTCTGAGGCAGGACAACAGAGAGGGTGTAATTCCTTGTATGTAGGAGGTGCGTTTAGTCCTTAGGAGGGCAAAGGGAAGGAGGCTCACCCAGTTCTCACCAGTCTCTAGTTTTAATTTGGTAATTGTTTCTTTTCTTTTATTTATTTATTTATTTATTTATTTATTAAAAGATGACCAGTAAGGGGATCTTAACCCTTGGCTTGGTGTTGTCATTACCACGCTCAGCCAGTGAGCAAACCAGCCATCCCTATATAGGATCCGAACCTGTGGCACTGCACTCTCCCGAGTGAGCCAAGGGCCGGCCCTGTAATTGTTTCTTTTAAAATCCGATTTATTCATTCTACCTGTCCTGAACTTTGTGGCCTACAAATATAATGTAAATTCCAATTTTATTTATTTATTTATTTATTTTTTCCTTTTTGTCTTTTTTTTCATGACCGGCAACGGATCACAACCCTCAGTGTCGCGCCCGTACCGGACCGGGACCGGCAACGGGATCGCAACCCTCGGTGTTGCGCCCGCACCTCGCTCAGCCAGTGAGCAGCGGTCTGTATGTGGGATCCGAACCCTCGGCGGGAGCACCGCCACACTCCCAAGCGGCGCACTGTAGCAGTGCGCCACCGGGCCGGCCCCAATTTATTTTTAATGTTTTAGCTAATAATTGGGAAATTTGGGTTGTGAAAGCCAGGCCATTGTCAGACCCCAAGGTCACAGGTAGGCCAAATCTGGGGACAATTTCTCATAACAATTTTTTTTAGTGTTATCTGAGCGGTTTCAGTTTTGGTAGGAAAGGCTTCTACCCATCCAGAAAAAGTGTCTGTGAACATCAAAAGGTAGCGATACCCGTATTGTCCAGGTGTTACCTCGGTGAAGTCAATCTCCCAGTGTTCGCCAGGGTTGGTTCCTTGCATTCTGGTTCCAATGGGCAGCCTTAATTTTGGCCCTGGATTTACTTGTGAACGAATTTCATATCTGGTAACAATGTCTTTTGTTATTTTGTCAAGATCTTAGATGTAATCATATTTTTTAAAAGTTCAGTTAATTTTGTGGATCCAAGGTGTGTTTCTTGATGTATGTATTTAATTAGCAATCTGCCTAGAGCCAGTGGCAAATAAATCCTGTGGTCTGGCAGAATTTTCTAATTCATGGCATTGTTGGAGGCTTTTAAGATCTTAGCATGTTTTACTTCTTCTTTAGTATAACGGGGGGTCAATGGCAATTGAGGTGCCGGAACAACTATTAAAGAGTCAAATGGCCCCACTGGTTTTCATGTCGCCTCTTTGGCAGTCAAATCTGTAGCAGCGTTGCCTTGGGTCTCAGACGAGTTATCTTTCTGGTGCCCTGGACAATGTATGATGGCCACTTTTTTTGGATACCATATGGCCTCAAGGAGGGCTAGTATTTTGCTTTATTATTTATTTATTTTTTAATTTTAATAGTCCGCTCTGTTTGTATAAGGCCCTGTGAATATGGGCAGTGCAAAAGCATATCTGTTGTCAGTATATATGTTAGCAGTTTTATCTTTTCCATGCTTTAAAGTCTGTGTGTGTGTTAGGGCTATGAGTTCAGCCTTTTGAGCAGATGTTCTTTGGCTTAAGGCTTGAGTCCAAATGACCCAATCTAAAGTTACCATGGCTGTCCCGGCATACCTGATTCCATTGGAGAGGAAACTGCTTCTATCAGTGAACAGCATTTTATTAGGCTCTGTCCAGGGCACATCAGTCAGGTCAGGCCAGAGGCCTCGGAGAGTCTCGATTGTTTTGAGGCAGTCATGGACAGGCTCGGTTGGGTTGTCATCCGGGAGGAGGGTAGCCAGATTTAGAGCTGTGGTTTTTAGGAGCTGATCTAGAAGTAAAGACTGATACTGGGTGAAGCAGGAGTTGGTGAGCCAATGTTCAGGTGAAGAGAGTGTACACAGTGGGGGGGCCACTAAGCATATGTCTTGTTGACCTCTTTTACTAGTAAAGCAGTTGCCATTATGGCTTAGAGACAGGTTGGCTATCATGCGGCTACACTGTTCAACCTCTTGGAGAAGTAGGTGATAGGCTTCTTCTGTGGTCCCAGGGCTTGGGTGAGCACCCCCTTGGCAGTGCCTCACATCTCGGCAACAGAGAGGCTGAAAGGCTTCATCAAATAAGGTTGGGGAATTTTTAAATCCTTGGGGGAGGTGAGTTCAAGTTAATTGTCCAGAGTATCCTCCCCCGGGGTCAGTCCATTCAAAGGCAAAGAGAGGTTGGCTTACTTGGGCCAGCAGGAGGCTGAAGGAGGCAGCCTTAAGATCTAGCTTTTTGGTTTGTTTCTGTTCTGGACTATCGCTGTCATTAAAGACCCTCTGGGCAATTTCAACCAGCTCAGATAACAATTTCCCTTTAAATCCTTCCTGTCGTTGAAGCTTTCTCCTAATGTCTGGGGCTGACTGGGTAACAAAGGCAATATTTATCGCCCACCAGTTCTCTGGGGTCTCAGGGTTCACAGGAACGTAGGTCCTGTAAGCCTCCATTAGGCTTTCCAGGAAAGCAGTGGGGGTTTCGTTTGGTCCCTGAATAGTTTCACTTACTTTTGATAGGTTAGTGGGCTTCTGGGCTGCTGTGTGGAGTCCCCTAAGAAGAGTGTAGCGATACAGGTTGAGAGCCCCCTTACCTTGGTCTGTGTTTGGGTTCCACCCAGGTCTGTTAGAGGGGAACACATATTCGAGGCAAATGGGGTCATCAGAGGGTCAGCCATTGTGACTGGTAATAGTTTTCAGGGTCTCCCTCCAGATCCACTTGCATTCTTCTGACGTGAAGAGAGTCTGCAGGAGCTGCTGACAATCATCCCATGTAGGCTGGTGGGTAAAGAAAAACAGTCTCCAGGAGGGAGATAAGGCCCTGAGGTTTTTCTGAGAAAGGAGTTCCAGGATCAGGTAGGGGAGTGAGACAGGGGTTTGGATGAACGTCAGGGAGAGGCAGTGCCACTCCGAGTATGCACAGGGAAAGATCAGGTGGGGGAACAAGAGGGGGGTTTGGAGGAATGGCAGGGAGAGGCAGTGCCACTCCGAGTATGGGAAACAGGCAAAGAAAGTCCAGAAATACACCCATAGTTCTGGCCAATTGGTTTTTGACAAAGTTGCCAGACCTAAATGTTGACTCTGACAACTGTTACACTGTGGAGTTAATAAGACTGTATTTTTTTTTTTCCTTTTTGTCTTTTTTCGTGACCGGCAACGGATCGCAACCCTCAGTGTCGCGCGCCCGTACCGGACCGGGACCGGCAACGGGATCGCAACCCTCGGTATCATGCCCGCACCTCGCTCAGCCAGTGAGCGGCCGGTCTGTATGTGGGATCCGAACCCTCGGTGGGAGCGCCGCCGCGCTCCCAAGCAGCGCACTGTAGCAGTGCGCCACCGGGCCGGCCAAGACTGTATATTTTTTAAAGTAATGAACAGCGTATGCTTTCTTAACTGCCTAATTCACATTTTTCTGAGGTGTTTTGTCAGTTAATACTTTCAACCAACTTAAAAGTAATGTTTTCCCCATGAGTGGAAAGAATGCAAACAGACCTGTGTTTAACAATAAGGTCAGCATGACATAAAGTAACAAAAGCCAATTAATCAAAAATGAGGTTGACATTCTGGGACTAATCTAGCAGTCCAACAGTGTTTCAAATTCTTTTCTTTGGTTACTGTATATTCAGAGATTAAATCATTGCTGTTATGAACTACTGCTGTTTAACTTATCATCAGCCTTCCCCAAATTTCTAAATCTTCTCCAGTGAAGGGAGAAGAAATTATTAAAGGAAATACTCTTAGCTTATTTTCAATTTTTAAAGCCACCTTGGGTCTTCAGAGGCGTCAGAGAGTACGGGGGGTGGGCGCTGTAGGGGAGGCGCTCTTCTTTGGAGAAGCTGGAAGAGAAGGCTTAGTTAAAAGCACAGATGGTGTTCTATTTCCATTCACCTTGGGACATTTTTTATGGCACCTTTTTCATCATGATGGCTTGTCAGAGATTATGTCAATCCAAACCTGTATGTAAGGGGGTTGTCCCATAGATCTGTTTGGAGAAATTTATCCCATTTGTAATATAAGACCACAGTTAATGACACACAAAAATACACAACTGGCAATACACGAAAGACAAAGTGGCCATGTCCAAAATTACTCAAAGATATCCACAGACACAACAATCACAACAACAAAGACGAACACGAACAAGAAACACAGAAACACAATTCCTATTGACTTGCAAGTCCCAAATACACAATTTCTATTGACTTGCAAGTCCCAAATATATAATTTCTATTGACTTGCAAGTCCCAAATCCAAATCACCACTGGGCTCAGCGATGTCTCAGGAGCCCATAGGGGAATTAATGCTGCGTCCAGCTTCCCATAAGTCCAATCATTGGTGCACCATCCCTTACTGAGATCTCACCTACCTGGGGAGTGAATAAAGTGTCCCATCTGCCTCCAGGGAGAAGAGGAGGAACAGCTTCTCTATTTTCTCCTAGGAGATAAGTGCAGGGAGGGATATACTTCCTAGAGAAACAATCTCGCTGGGGCCTCCAAAATGTTGTGAGGCACCCTCCCACAAGAAATGCACTTACACACCACTCATGTAGAAAAGGGCAGTTTATTCACTCCAGCTGGCCAGCGACCATCTCCCAAGGGGCAACCAAGGAAGAGCGGTCTTCCTTGGTCTTGTAGGGTTTTTAAAGGCAAAAACTACATCCTGTTGGCACATGGGTTTTTCCAGGTGCACAAAGCAAGCTAGGGAGCCAGGTCACAAAGGCCAAGAACGAGCCGTTCAAGCAATCAAGCATACAAGTTTTCATTGTGTATGGTTCCTGTTCTCATGTAATAATTCACTGTGTATGGCTCCTGTTTCTGTGTAATTGTTTTTTGTTTCTATGAGAAGGGCAGCGGTTTCTCATGCAGAAGGCGGGGGTAGTCTGCAGGTCAGACGGGGCAAAATGGAGTTACTTAGGTTAAGCAAGCAATTTTGCAGAAGCAGATAGCATACATTATGAGGGTGTAGGGAGCTCTATTTCAAGTTCATGAGGGGCAAAAACCATGTGGGTCATTGTCAGGTGTTACTGCCACCAGAGGCAAGAATTGTGGAAGGGGAAAGGGTGTGGGACACTGCTGTGCCAGATGCTCCTGGCAGTGGGTGTTGTTTTAAAATGGGACTTCCATACCCCAATCCCGAAGTCTGGGCTGGGAAGCCCACATTTTTATTTTCCCATGGTAAAACGCATTTCCAGAATTTTCATAGAAATCAGTGAGAAAAATGGGATTCTGTTGTCACAGATTTTTCCAGAACATTTCTGTATCATGAGGTAACAAAAGAGAAACCAGATGCAACAGGACTTGCCTGTCATCCAAGTCCCTGCCTCTTCTCTCACTGTCCCTCTCCACCCAGCACTGGGCCAGTGGGCATAGGTGGTCAGGGCTCCATGCCAGGGTGTCTGGCCCTCAGCTCTATTGACAGCTCAGGCCAGGTCATTCTTCACTTTGGGAGTGTCCTGTGCAGTGCAGGATGTTAGCAGCATCTCTGGCCTCCATCTGCTAAATGCCAGTAGTTCTTCCTTCCCCAGTTGTGATAGCCAAAGATGTCTCCAGAGTTTGTCAAACATCCCCTTGTTGAGTACCACCTGTCTAGCTTAGAAGGGAGACAAATGCTAGGAACTTTCCAAAGGCAATCACCTGCCTGCTTTGTCCCCACTACAGTGACATGCAGGGCAGGAGGTAACCTCTGCTTTCTGCCAGCTCGTCTTGCCTGGCCTTGCCCAGCCTTGTGACTGGCTCTGGTCAGCCCCACCTGTGTGACAGCTGAGCATGTCTAGCATATCTTGTGTTTGTGTAGGAGGGAGTTAGATTTGAATAAGAAGAACGGCGGTGGCTGGACTGCGCTGATGTACGCCTCCTACATCGGACATGACACCATCGTGCACCTGCTGCTCGAGGCGGGGGTGAGTGTGAATGTGCCGACCCCGGAAGGGCAGACTCCACTGATGCTGGCCTCCAGCTGTGGCAACGAGAGCATCGCCTACTTTCTCCTCCAGGTGAGCTACGAGGGCTCTGCCCAGAACCCTGAGGAGTTCCCCACAGCTCTGACAGAGACGTGAACCATTGCAGGCTATGGCATGCATGTTTCTCGTATGATTCTTTCAGCCTGGCGGCCCGAGGGGTGGCTGCCCTATGCACAGAGATGAGGCCCTGATGAGCCTTCTGTGTTCTCTTGAAGCAAGGTGCTGAGCTGGAGATGAAGGACATTCAGGGCTGGACTGCCCTCTTTCACTGCACCAGTGCCGGCCACCAGCAGATGGTGAAGTTCCTTCTGGACAGTGGAGCGAATGCCAACGTGAGGTGCTGACCACATTCTAAGTGGCCAGAGGAGAGGGCGGGGCCTCATCTAGCTCTAAGGAGGGCAGCCATAGAGCAGCTAACCAGAGGTCAGGGCCACCCTGCCTCGCTACATGAGGTTCAGGACCAGGATGAAGTAGAATGGACAGAGTCCCACCCAGGTGTGGAATTTTTCATGTATCTGTCCAGTGACACTGGGCCCTCAGAGTTTCATTTACTGAAAACTGGGGATAGCAACACCCCTGTCATGGAGTTATTAGAATGACATGTCTCATCATATGCCACGAGCCTAACAGAGTGAATGGTGTTTGAATGACATGCATTAAAGGCTAATTCCTTTCTCTTTCCTGCCTTTCGTATATATCAGGTGAAGTGATGCTTTGAAAACAGTCCTGAGCTTTATAAGCTAGAAGTGGTGGTGTCTGAGCATGTCATGGTAATAACCCCCTTTCCACATGGCGGGCACCAGCAGAGCATCCACAGCTGTTTTTTGAGTATGATTAAGGTGGAGATTTAAGGGCCGGCCTGTGGCTCACTTGGGAGAGTGTGGTGCTGATAACACCAAGGCCATGGGTTCGGATCCTATATAGGGATGGCCGGTTTGCTCACTGGCTGAGCATGGTGCTGACAACACCAAGCCAAGGGTTAATATCCCCTTACAGGTCATCTTTAAAAAAAAAAAAATTAATTAATATAACATAATTAATTAATTAATTAAGGTGGAGACTTAGGAACTTGCAGGTGGAGACAGCCTTGAAGGAGGGAGATAGGGAGACAGATTTGTCTCTAGGACTGAGGACTGGTGCTAGAGACAGACACTGGAAGAGCCAATGAAGCTGATGTGTTCCTATCAAGTTTTCTTATCTCACCCCGTTAATCCTCGTGAGAGAGAGAGAGAGAGCTCTCTACACTCAGCATGAAGTGACTCGTGCACTGGCTTGGTTTTGTCTTCAGCAGGGGAGCTTTTGCCTGGCAGAGCTTCTCTGCTAATCATCTGCCTGTGGCCCCCATCTTGCAGGGAGCCAATATATGGATTTACTCCTCTGATGGAAGCAGCAGCTGCTGGCCATGAGATAATCGTGCAGTATTTTCTGAATCACGTAAGTGACCTGGTTTATTAGATTCTAATTTAGTCACAGCAAATGAGGAATCATTTCACTGAAGTCTAAACTATAACAGAATTTTCTTTTACACAGAAATAACTGTTCTTCATTCATTTATTCAATACATTTTCCATTGAATATCTATTGCTGCCAAGTGTTGAATGGTGCTTAGGCATTAGTGGTGAGTAAAACAGATACCTTTTCCTGTAATAATTTTCAAGATACTGTTATTTGAAAAGTATGGAAAAAATATTTTAAAAATTTAGTAGCAATTACAATTTCATCACTTGGAAAAATTATATAGGGTAAGAAGGCAGAGATGTTCCTGCCTTTTCAACCACCCCTGCTACTCACCGAGATACCCACTTGGTTTGATAAAGAGAATACCCAAGACTTTTCCTCTGCCATATAAAGTTACGTCTATAGACAACTGCAGACACATTGTTTTTTGTTTTGGACAAAAATGAGATTGTATGTATATTCTGTAACTGTTAAAAAAAAAATCACTTAATATACCATAGACATCCTTGTACAGTATTCCATGTATAATCTGAGCTATAATTAATCTAATCAGTTCCTTATTAATAGAAATTTAGGTTTTCAATATTTTGCAATTATAAACAGTGCTCCGGGGAATATCTTCTAATGCACAGCTTTAGCACACTTACAGTTATTTCTGTATATTTCTAGAAGAGGGATTCTTGGTGCTCACATTTTAAATGTAATAGTTCCTAATAAAAAGACAATTAAATTAAAAGACAATTAAAAGATGGGCAAAGGATCTGAATAGACATTTCTTCAAAGAAGACAATACAAATGAAAAAGTTCTTGACATTAGGCATCAGGGAGATGCAAATTAAAACCAGTAGGATGTGTGTAATGAAAAAGACAGACAATAGCAAGTGCTGGTGAGGACGTGGAGAAACTGGAAGCCTCAGATGCTGCTGGTTGGAATGTAAAATGGTGCAGCCTCTTCAGAAAACAGTCTGGCAGTTCCTCAAACAGTTAAATATAGAGTTACCTTAAGACCCAGCAATTCCACTCCTAGGTATTTACCCAAGAGAACTGAAAACATACATGTTCACATAGAAACTTGTACACAAATGTCCATAGCAGTGTTGCTCATAATAGCCAAAATCAGAAACAATCCAGATTTCTATCTGCCGATGAATTGATAAGCAAAATGTATATCTATACAGCAGAATAGTATTCAGCCATAGAAAGGAATGAGGCACTGACACACGCTATGACCTGGACACACCTTGGAGACATTATGCTGAGTGAGAGAAGCCAGACGCACTGGAGCACATACTGTGTGATTCCATTTATGTGAAATGTCCAGAATAGGCAAAGCCATAGAGACAGGAAGTAGATGAGTATTTATTTAGTTCTGGGGGAGACAGGGGAGGGGTGATGGCTAAAGGGCACTGGGTTTCTTTTTAGGGTGATGAAAGTGTTCTAAAATTGATTGTGGTGATGGTTGCACAACTCTGAATATACTAGAAGCCATTGAATTGTACACATGGGTGAATTGTAGAGTACATGAATTACGTCTCAATAAGGCTGTTAAAAAAGATGTAGTAGGGGAAAAACTCAGTAGGTCATAACAAATTCCTACTAAAAAGGTTGTCTCTGTTGTCCTTCCTTCCAGGAGTATACAAAGGTGCCCACTTTCTCATGTCCTCACCAGTGCTGGCTGTTAATCAGTCTTTTAAGTTTTTGCTAATTTAGGGGGAAAAGAGTGGAAAGGGAAAAGCATCTCATTTTAGCTTATAATTATTAGTGTGGTTGGACATTTTTAAAATATATTTCTGGCCATTTGTATTTCTTTTATGAATTGTCTGTTTATGTTTTTAGCCTAATTTTCTAGTTAATGTTAGCCTAATTTGGATAGTTTTATTCTTATTTATTGCTGGGAACTTTTTGAGAAATGGAATTTTAACATGGCATCTCTTTCTAAAAAAGAATTTGGGGACAGAACATGTGCATGGTAAACGTGCTGATGAGGCAGAGGGCACATGGTAATCCTGCCTTCCACCCTGTACCTGAGTTTCCCAATCACCCCTCTATGGGTGTCTGTACAAGCCCTACATGGCCGCCGGTCTCTGCGTATCTACTCCTGTACATAATGCATTGTCCCAGCTGCACACACTGCTGCGCCCACCTTGCCTTTTTTAAAAAAATTTAACTATCGTGGAGGTTGTTCTATTTCAGTGTATGAGTAGCTCTCTTTTTATGGTGCCATAGTATTCCCCTGGAGGAATGAATCAATTTCTTTAACAGTGGTCTACAGATAGAATGAGGTCATTGCTAACGATTTGCTGTTATGACCAGCGCTGTGCGTGGGTACACACATGTGAGCACATCTGTATGGCACAGATTAAAGGTAGAACTTTTGGGTAAAGGTAGAGTCTGTACATGGATGTTACCAAATTGCCATCCAAAGAGTAAGTTATACCAATTTACACTCCCCATAGCAGTAAGAATTATGCATCTTAAATTGTGAAGTACTTTAAACATAAAAAAATTATAGAGGCCATCCCGCATGAGTCCAGTGCCTATATCTGACACGTGCTAACATCCTGCCTTGGTTGCTCAGCTCTTGCTTTTTGTTTTTAAAGGGTACAACTGAAGGCTCCTTTCTACCCCTTTCTGATTCCATCTACCTTCCTCCTTCTCCAGAGGTAACCATTGTCCAGATGTTGGTGTGTATCTTTTCTGTCCCTGATTTTATACTTTTATCACATATTATATATCATTAAGCAGTGTATAGACTTGTTTTGAATATTTTAAAGATTTATGTATTAGTTCCTATTACCTGATAAAGAAAAAAATTTTTTTAAAGGATTTATATAAATAATGTATCAGACTGTATGTATCATTCAGCAAAGTTTTGCTACGTGTAGATGAAGTTTGCCCACTCTGACTGCTCCGTGTTTATGGAGTGTGTGAATAGATTAGCTTTATCCTTTCCTTTAAGTTATGTTTCCCTTCGCTCTTCCTAACAGTGCTGCAGTTAACCTTCCTTGCACATCTTCCTGAGCACGTGTGGGAATGTCTTTAGGACATCGGGGGTGTTCCTTAAAGGAGAATGTTTAGTGTGTGGGGTGGGCACATCTTCACTAGAGAGTGTTCACTTTCCTCCGCAGTAGTCCCAATTTGCACCCCTCCTGCTAGGTTTTATACTTTTTGGTTCCCACACCCTCACTTGGTACATGAAATCAGATGAGTTGTGTCCTGTTGATTTTTGCTTGTCCCTGATTTCCTGTGAGATTGAGCATCTTTTCATGTCTCTATTAATCACTGGTTTTCTTTTTCTGCAAGTAATTATTCTTTGAAGGTAATTCCACTCACATGAACTAGGCTTCCTTAAAACATATCATAGAGTCAAGATGGGTAGGAGCCCAGAACTGGAAAAAGCCTAACCTCTGCTGTTAAGTTTAGAGTCTGATTTTAAATAAGGTAGAACTGTAAGTCATAAGAGACAGATACTCTTATTGAGAATCTTTTTCATGAATGATTTTAAAGAGAATTTTGGATTTTAAAGGTATTAAAATATTTTTGTTTTGTACAAGAGTTTGTTGCTCTGTATGACTCCTGTATGCGTTGTATATTGCAATTTATTACTGTCAGAGATTTGTAGACAGTTTCTTATTTTCATATTGAATCATGTTACTTTTGTAATTCAAGTAAGCAGCTGGGTTAATTCATGATGTTTGCCCTTTTAATAAAATATAAGGGTAGAGTTAATTTTGAATGCAAGTTGTCTTTATTATAAATTTGAGTTTGTCTTGGTTATATAATCTTGCATGATAACCTAGCTACATTTTTAGCATTTACCGTATTTATTAAAATTAATTTTTTTTTTTTTTTGTCTTTTGTCTTTTTTCGTGTCCGGCAACGGATCGCAACCCTCAGTGTTGCCCCCGTACCGGACCGGGGACCGGCAACGGGATCACAACCCTCAGCGCTGCTCCCGTGCCTCGCTCAGCCAGTGTGCGGGAACCGGTCTGTATGTGGGATCCGAACCCTCGGGCGGAGCGCCGCCGCGCTTCCCAAGTGGCGCACTATCCAGTGCGCCACCAGGCCGGCCCGTCCTATAATTTTTAAAAAGGAAAACATAATAGGGCCAGCCTGTGGCTCACTTGGGAGAGTGTAGTGCCGATAACACCAGTGCCACGGGTTTGGATCCCTATATAGGGATGGCTGGTAGCTCACTTGGGAGAGCGTGGTGCTAACACCAAGTCAAGGATTAAGATTCCCTTACCAGTCATCTTTTTTTTTTTTTTAAAGGAAAACATTGGAAAATCAGAGACTTTAAATCATTTATCTACTGTGCAGATTGTACCCTCATTTGGTATCTTTACCCCCTAGATGGGTCTGAGATTATGTATAGGCAGTTTATATTAAGGGAAAACAAATTATACTGGATTTGTTTTGGACAAGTTTTACATTTTGAAATAATTGCAGCCAAAGAAAAGGTAAAAAATAGTACAAAGAATTTGTGTACCCTCACGAGATTCCCCAAACATTAACATTTCACCTCATTTTCTTGATCAGTCTCTATATATTTGTACATAATATGCATACAATCTTTTTGCAACCATTTGAAAGTAAGTTATGAACATAATGTCTCTTCTCTCCTAAATACTTTAGTATATATTTCCTAAAAACAAGACTCTTTTCTTTCATAATCACTCACAATTATCATCCTCAGGAAACGAACATTGAGTTCTTCCTCTAGCTCAGGAATGGAAGATGTTGGTCAATTCCAGATGATTGCTTTGATGTATGTGTGTGGGGAGAGGGGGGTTTGCAGCAGGTGGCCTGATGGCCTGATGGCCAGCCCTGCCTGGAAGCTCCTCCGCTCCCCACAGAATTCCTACTTCTCAGTTGTCATTAGACCGCAAGGAACTGGGGCGGGGTGGTGGTTGGGAGACACCCCCATCTCTTACCCTGCCCCCACAGAGCCTGGCTCCGTTCCTGGAGATGGAGAACTGCACAGAGCTAGGTACCCGGTCCTCTTCAGCAGGGTGGGAAAGGGCTGTGGCTGCCTTCCATGTGCCTATCCCTCTTCCTCCCAGCGGGGCCAGGCCCCAGGAGCTCAGGCAGGAGAAGATTATTTGAGTGTGTTTGGGCCTCTCTTTAGGAAGGAGTTGATTCTCCAGTTGATTTGTGCTTTTGGAATAATCTTGTTCCAGGGTTTCTAAACTTTTTGATCCCATTTTCATGTTAAAATGAATTTTGATTATGTACTTCTCTAGTAATATGTACGTTATAAGACAGGAACAAAAATAGAAAAAAAATTAAGAGATAAGTAGATGCAGAGTCTACTATTTTCTTCCTTCACCCCAGGGACCTTCTCGTTCTTGGTTCTGTTTTCTTCCCATTTCTTACTAAACAATGGTATTACTGCTTTTTCCCCTCTTAAGTATAATCTGAAGTTGAAGTCTTCCTGGCTTAAAAACAGATAGTGAGTTAAAACCCTACAGTAAAGATGCTTTTTTATCTGATTGAAGCCTTTGGGTTTCTTCTATTAAACTTAAACTAGAAATTACCTTTTAAGGCCAAAGGTTTCATAGCTGATTTCTAACCAAAGCTCTGGAAGGTAGGGGGATTTCCAGAAAGTAAATCTCATTAGACTCTTGTAAAAATGCACTTTTTTCTTACCAGAGAGATGTGTGGTTGTGGTAATCACTTTCTGCACTGGGCCCAAGACTGTAGGTTCACCATAGTTTTTCAAAATAGCGAGGAAAAGTACATACATAAATATTTATTATACAAGTGGTATATACTTGCTATAAAACAATAGCAAGTAACTCCTATTGGCATGTTTTACCAAAAAAAAGAAAATGCTGTGAAGCAAAAAGAAAGCAAAAATCATGCATAATCCCGTCATCTGGCAATAACACGTGTTCACATGCCGGCAAGTGTCCTAGTTTTTTTCTAGATATATATTAAGTCAAAATGGAATCATGCTATGCAAAGTGTATTGTAATCTTCTCTTTTCCTCTTAACGACATTTTGTGCTGGCCTATCCACGCCACTGCAAACACTCTCACCCTTGGTATAAACGGTGGGCAGTGCTCCATTTCTTGGTATATTCTCACTTAGCTCCCGAATCCCCTACTCTAGGTTCTCTCTGATTCTCACTGTGTTCACTGCTGCAGCAACAACCCTGAATCTCAGTGTATTTCTTCAGGTTAAATTCCTAGAGGTGGAATCGTCGGGTCAAAGGGCCGTACATGTCTAAGCTTAGAACTTCCTCCTGCTGATTTGTCCTCCCACCATCACATCTGAGACTGCATGGTCGGAACTGTTAAAATAGAAAACTTGTTGGGCTTTTCCAGTTTCAAAAGTAAACATGCTTACAGAAGTACATTTAGAAAGCACCAGGGGAGAAAGGGAAAAAAAAAAAAAAAAAAGAAAACACAGAAGATAAGAAGATTGGAGAAATCCTCATCATCGTACTGCTTAAAAGGAGTGTTAACATTTCAGGCATGTTTCCTTCCAGTATTGTTTTCGGTGTACTTTTTTGTTTTGTTGCAATTGTAATGTATATATAGTTTTGTTTTTTAATTGACACATTGTAATTGACCATGTTTATGGGGTACCGTCTGATATTTTGGTACTATAGTTTTGTATCATGATCTTTTGTCAACTTGATTATACCAACTATTTGTAAATATCAACGTTTATGGCTGTGATATAGCTGCCTCTCCATCCTCCCTGAGCATTTAAGTTGTGTCTAGGTTTTCATTATTGCAAACCTCTTGTGCTAAACATCTTTGTGTATAAAAGCTTCTCTGTATTTAGGGTCATTTCCTTCGGATAGGGTCACAGATGTGGACTTCTTGTGCTGAAAAACTATAAATACATTTTAGAGCTATGGATAAAGTGACCAAATTCTGTTGCAGAGGGTGGTGCTCTCATTCTGATTATGATTTAAAAGTCTTCTCCTTTAGTGAATCGTCATGTCCAGTGTTTTCTGTGATGAGAAGTGAAGCGAGCAGGACGCAGCCCGGGTGCAGGAGGCGAAGGCTGGGCTTTCCGCCCTGGCCACTGGTGTCTCCCTTTGTCCCCTGCACACCTGCACGGGAGCATGACAGCCCCTCTCCACTCAAGTGAGGCCATGAGCCTGGCATGCTGCTTTGAGATGGCTTGATGATTGTTCCTTGTGACGTGGCCCTGAAGCCCCACTTATTCTTGTCATTAGGAAGAGAGTGGGGGGCCGGCCCATGGCTCCCCTGGGAGAGCGTGGTGCTGACAATACCAAGTCAAGGGTTAAGATCCCCTTACCAGTCATCTTTAAAAAAAAGGAAGAGTGGGAAAAAAAAGGAAGAGTAGGAGCCAGCTCATGCCTGTGAACCAAGCAAGCCTGCGCCCCTTCCTCACTTAGTGGTCAGAACTGGTCACTTCCTCTTTTCCTCCTGGGCCAGCTGCCCAGGCAGTGTGGGCACTTCGAAGGGGAGGCTCCTAACTTTTCTTCTTTCATGGGCATTCACAGGGTGTCAATGTGGACACGAGAGACCACAGTGGAGTCACAGCCCGGATGCTGGCCAGGCAGTACGGACACATGAAGATAGTGGCCTTGATGGACACTCATTCGCCCTCTCTGCCCAAGAGCCTCTACCGGAGCCCAGGTACCTGCGTCCATCTACCTGCCTGATGGAGTGCTGGGTTGACTGAGTGTTAGGGACACCCAGGAGAAAGAAGGCTCCCTTCCCTGGCTCTACCTGCTCCTTTGAGATGTGGCCCTGGCATCCCTGACAGGAGACCTTCTCTGCCTTCCCCTGCAACTCCATTGTGTAGTCAAGGTCAAGGTCCCCTGAACTAATAGGAGAGACAGGCAGTTCAACAGTTATGGTGTAGTGTGGTACCTGCCAGGCTGAAATCACACTGCATGCAGGGGGTGTGGAGCCCAGGGAAGAGGGGGAGGGAGGCTTAACAGAGGGGGTCCCTTCTGTTTTTACTTTTTGACTTTGCCTGTGGTGTTTGTTGCCATATGCTTTAATTTTACATAGTCAAATTAATTAGTCTTTATTTCCTCTGGATTTTGAGTCATAGAAAGTCTTTCCCTAGGCCCCGGTTGTGTAAGAATTCACATACGTTTTCTTCTAGTACTTGTGTGGTTTCATTTTTTACATTTAGATCTCTGATGCATTTAGACTTTATTCTCATGTATGCTATGAGGTATGGATCCAATTTTATCTTTTTACATGGTGTCCTAGCATCATTTATTTAAAAGTGCGTCTTTGACCTGGATGTGCCATGTTTACTATATACTAACGTTCCGTTTGCATGTGGGTCTTTCCTGGACTTCGTTTGGTCCCATTGGTTTTCCTATATTCATGCACCAAAACCACAGTGATTAGAGGCTTTTTGTAGTATGTTTTACTATTGAGTACGGCTAGTCCCCTTGATAGCTTTCTTTTTTCAGTGTTTCCCTAGCTATTGCTTGTTTATTTTTCTCCATGAACTTGATTATCAACTTGTCTAGCTCCTTAAAAAGTGTTGATATTTTATTGAGATTGTGTTAAGTTTATAAATTAAGGCTGTGTTGTTGAGTTGTCCTATCCAAGAATGAGGAAATCTTTTTGTTCCAGTGTACTTTTGGGTCTTGCAGGAAGGTTTTAAATTTTTCCTCATGTACATTTTATGTGTAACTGAAGTTTATTCCCAAGTATTTAATCATCTTTGTTGCTATTGTAAATAGAGTTTTCTCTACCATTGTATTTTTTAAGTGCGTATTATCAGTGTATATGAAAGCAATTGATTTCTGTCTACTAATTTTATATTCTGCTACCTTACTGAATTCTTTTTATTATCGATTCTCTAGGACTTTTCAGATACACTACCATATAATCCGCAAATAGAGACAGATTCACTACCTTCTTTGTGATTGTGAATCGGATTGTGCTTCTGATGTCTTCTGTTTAGTTGCTCATACCTCTTGTTTAGTGTTAAACCTCGTGGAGGTAGTACACACCCTTAGCTTGGTTCTGACCTTAGCGGAAATGCCAGATTAAGTAAGAGGCTAGATTTAAGAGTAAGATGTATAGGTATTTTATTATATTGAGAATGCAATTCCAGTATTCTTTAGTGTGTTTTTTATTTTTTAAACAGGAATAGCTGTTGAATTTTGTCGGAGACTTTTTCTGTATCTATGGAGATGGTTGTGAATTTTCTCCATGGCTCTATTAATATGGTATATTGTATTAATGAATTGCTTAATAATGAACCAACCTTACATTCCTGGCATAAATCCAACTTGAATTATTTCTTAATGTGTTTTTGGATTCTGTTTATTTTTTATTTAGTATTTTTATATGGATATTCATTTGTAAGTGATATTGGTCTATAATTCCCTATTTTTGTTCTCTCTTTATCAGGTATGGGTATCAAAATTACACTTGCTTCATAAAAAGAACTTAGACGTTTTCCTTCTGTTTCTGTGCTCTAGAACAATACATTGGTACTACCTGCTCTTAGCAAGATTTGATAGAATTCTCCTTTGAAAACATCTGGGCCTGGTCTTTTTTTGTGGGATGGTTCTTCGATAAAAGTTTTTCTGTTTCTTCTATAGAAATTGGTCTGCTTGGGCCGGCCCATGGCTCACTCGGGAGAGTGCGGTGCTGATAACACCAAGGCCACGGGTTCGGATCCTATATAGGGATGGCCGGGTTGGCTCACTGGCTGAGCGTGGTGCTGACAACACTAAGCTAAGGGTTAAGATCCCCTTACTGGTCATCTTTAAAAAAAAAAAAAGAAAGTAAGAAATTGGTCTGCTTGGGCCGGCCCATGGCTCACTCGGGAGAGTGCGGTGCTGATAACACCAAGGCCACGGGTTCGGATCCTATATAGGGATGGCCGGGTTGGCTCACTGGCTGAGCGTGGTGCTGACAACACTAAGCTAAGGGTTAAGATCCCCTTACTGGTCATCTTTAAAAAAAAAAAAAAGAAAGTAAGAAATTGGTCTGCTTAAGCTGTCTATTTTTAGTGGGGTCAATTTTGGTAGAAAGTATGTTCCTTAAAAATCATTTCATATAGAATTTCAGACTTATTTGCTGGGGTCTCTGCAAGATAAACTTTTCTCCTTTTTAAAAGTTTCTTCTGTTTCAAGGGTTATTTTCTCCTGTTGTTTCTTACTTTGTGTATTTGTGTTCCCTTTTTTCTTTTTATGTTAGATGGTGCTTTGTCTATTTAGTGAAAAAGCAAAACAAAAAACCATAGGATTTTGATTTATTATTTAGAGCTGCTGATTTTCAGTTCTCTACTTCATTAATTACAGCTTTTATTTTTGTTTACTTTGTGTTTCTTTTTCTAGTTTTTTGAGTTGGGAATTTAATTCATTCATTTTCATTTTTTCCCTTTTGTTGACATAAATGTTTAAGGCTATGAATTTTTGTTGAGGATTGCTTTTTATGTATCCCAGGGATTCTAGTATGTAGTGCTTTTATTATCATTATTTTTCAAAGATTCTGTAATTTTGACTTATATTTTCCCCTTCATCCAAGAGTTTTTTAATAGAAGTTTTATGGGTTGTTTTGTTTTTAATTTTTAGGTGAAAGGGACTTTTTGATTTGTGAGTAATTTCTCATTTTATTATGATCAATTTTATTCTAGTTTATCCGATCAGAGAGTATTTATAATTATTCTACTTTATGGAACTTACAAATGCCTTACTTGTTACCTAAGGATCAATATTTTTAAATGTTCAATGTGTGCTTGAGAAGTTATATTCTCTATTATCTGGATATAGAATTCAGTATATATCTATAATCTACCTTATTGACTATTATTTAGGGCCTCTGTATCCTTATGTCTTTTTCCCCAAAGTTACCTATTATTAGTATTTCTGTTTTCCCTACATATACTATAATTTCTGATTTGTAAAGGTAATTGCTGCATTTTTTGGTGATAGATATTCATAACTTGTTATAGCTTTATTGTGAATTATGGCTTTTAATATTAGAGGTGTTCTTCTGTGTCACGTTTAATGCTTTTTGGCCTGAGTTTTACTTTATAGCAGGATTGTAACCCCTGCTTTTATTGTTTTCTTTTGCCTGGTCTACCTTTGCCTATTCTATTTTGAGCCATTTTGAGGATGTGTTGGGATGTTCAGATTCATGCAGCTGTCTTTACCTCAGCTACCTCCTCCTTTGTACATTTTTTTTATTTTACAGTTTCCTACATCTTCTACTTGGATGGAACCATAGTTTCCTTCTGGCGCGCGGATCCCTGAGTGTTTGGGAGTGTTTAATGGGGCAAAGAGAGAGTGGCCCACTCAGGGTCACTGGCCCACGTATGGGTCTGAGCTCTGTAACTCACTCACTGCCAGGGTCAGCCTCCACCCAGCTCCCTTCCTGGGTCAGGATCATTTTGTAACAGACACCAGCTCACATGGAGTGAAATGGTGAAGGACCTCTCCCTCGTGTCCCCACCCCAGGTTACCAACTCCAAAATGAGATCTTATCATTTCTTAGAAGTAGAATCAAATGAGAGCCTTATACAAATAAATCCCAGAATTTTGCCTTAGAGGGCTGATCAATATGAAAAACTATGAAAAGCTGTACAGTGGTGAAAGCCGTGGGCATGTTGAGCTCTTAAAGCTGAGACAGGGTGGTGATTTGAAATACTTTGTAAAACACAGCAAACACAGCATTTGCTTCCCAAGAAGTTGTTTAGGTTGAAAGTATAAAATTGCTTAAGAAGTTGTGGCTGATATTACTATACTTTTACAAAGAAATGGATTTTACTTGTCCCTTCAACTTAGAACTAAATTTCTGATTATAAACAATATAGGTTTATTATGAAAAATTTTGGACACCCAGACAAAGAGAGGAATAAGAATTAAGCTTCCTCATCACAGCAGAGTTTTTTGTGGCCCATTTGAGCAGAGGACTGGCCCATTATTGCATTTCTCACGAATGAAGTCCTGGTAAACACTTTTTAATTTAAGAACAACAGTTGTGATTATTTTCTTCCGGTTTACTATAAGGATTACTAAATTGGTCACTGAACAGACTGTCTTAATTTTGGTGTCTCTCATGCAGAAAAATATGAAGATCTGAGCTCTTCGGATGAATCATGCCCTGTTCCTCAGAGACAGAGGCCCTGTCGGAAGAAGGGGCTCAGCATCCATGAGGGGCCACGAGCCCTGGCCAGGATCACTGCTATGGGACTCGGAGGCAGGACCCTGCAGCCCAGCTACGGTGAGCATGCCATGCTTCCTGATGGCCCTTTGACATCGCATCTCAAAAGTCTATCTTGACAAAGCAGAACAACTCTTGGTCTCCTGAAACGTGGGCCTCGGGCCTCAGGCCTCAGGGCCTTTGTGCTCTAGGGGTGAGACTCAAGTTGATTCCTGTGATAGAAATTCAGTAGTTGTTAGCTAGCTCTTGGATTTTGGTTCATCTCCTTGATTTTCTTTTTCGTTGGTTAAAACTAGAAATTGAACTCTCTCTCCTGCACAGAAGTGTAGCTCAGCTCAGCTTTCATTCATCGCACAGGTGGGTCAGCCTGTGCAGGGAAAACTGAAGTGGAAGTCCCACTCTCTGGCTCCACCCACAGTCTTGGGCAGACGACCTTAGTGAATGCTCTTGCCCTCCTTTCTCAGGTGAGGGAGTCGATGCTCAGACCCTTCTGAGATGGTGCACTTGGTGGTGCTAGAACCCTAGACTCCCAGCTCCTAGATCTGAGTTTATTCTCAAAGGGTCAGCCCCTGGGTGTTGAGTATTTTACTCTTGGGGAGTGCTGGGGGCTGACTGTTGTGTAGGCGAGTGGGATTTGGTGCTCACTCTCTTTTGCTCTGGCCTTACCAAGTGACTAGACTGAAGAATGAGTCACATCTTCCTTTGATGACTGTCACCAGCCATGGCCAGGCCAAGGCGGGCATTCTGCCAGGATGGGTGGATCAGGGCTGTCTCAGGACAAGTATCCCTCTGAAGTCCAGCCTTGGAAGAGATTGACTTACCCATGGTCAGAGGAGACCATGTTTCATTGAAGGGTATATGAGTAACTTGATTCCCTCCTAAGAACCCAGGAAGAAGTCCTGAGCTGCTCAGACTTCCGTCTTCAGAAGCCCTGGCGCTGGGGTGGGAACTGCAGACCCACCTCCCACCATCCTGGGAGGAATGGGCTGACCGGGCCACGGGGAATCCCCCAGCAAGCTCCTACCACTGGATAAGGGCCCCACCTCATTTCTCTTCTGGTGGGCTTGTGAGCCCAGAGCTCTGGGACACGTGGCTGGGCTGGTCTCTTTTGGAGTGGCAGAGTCCATTCCTTCTGAGGAGTCCATGCTACCAGGCCCACCCTGAGGTATGGTGGGGGGTGGAAGGAGGAGTTTTAACCCCAGATGGGAGGTGGTGGTGTAATTAGCCCATACAGCTGTACACCAAATGCTTCCCCCCCCCCCCCAAAAGATGACCGGCAAAGGGATCTTAACCCTTGACTTGGTGTTGTCAGCACCAGGCTCTCCAAATTGAGCTAAGCAGCCATCCCTATATAGGGATCCAAACCCATGGCCTTGGTGTTATCAGCACCACATTCTCCCTAGTGAGCCATAGGCCAGCCCTAACAAATGCTTTTTTTAAGTGGAGTTCTCCTTATTTCAAGTTACCAAAATAATGTGTGGCTGAAGCCATTTGTACAGTTTTTTTTTAATGTGTCCAGAGAAGTAATGATGGTAGTTGTCTCTGAGTTGTGGCATTTCAGGGGATTATTTTTACTTCTTCTACCTTATGAAATTTAAAATTTTTATAAGCACATATATTCTCTTTGCCAACAATCTAAAGTTTTTGAATGATAAAAATAGCATTTCCTGATGTTAAAAAAAAAAAAAAAAAAAAAAAACCCTCCATAACTAGGGAAAGGTATAAAGAAGAAAAGTTCTGTGTAGTCCCACCAGCCAGTCTTTATGCAAAGAGATGTGCTTTCTTTGGGGAAAGGGCAGGGGCAAAATTGGAATTAAATTCTCTGGTTTGTGTTCTGCCTTTTCTACTTGTGTTCTTGTAGGCAGATATATTCATGGGTTGTGTAATTTTGTTTTACTGCTGTTAATTTTTAGCCCAGGGCCTTTTTCCTTCCTGTTCAGCCAGCTCTCTTTTTGGTCGGGGTTAATTGACCTGAGGAGGACCACCCCTAGATGCCTATGTTTAAGAAAGTCAAGGGGACATAAAGGCACTTAGGAGATGGAGGTGTATGTGTGTGTGTACGTGTATGTACGTGTGCATGTGTGGGCGTGTGTGTGCACCTGTGTGTACATGTGTGGGCATGTGTATAAGTGTATGTATGTGGGCATGTGAATGCATATGCGCATGTGTGTGTGTAGGGGGGTTATTAGATGTTTTCAACTAAAAGCAACACCGAAGGTGCAGTTTTTATCTAGTTCAGGAATCTATAAACACAGCTTACCATTTCCTACTTTTCCACTTGACAAAGCAAGGTGAGGTGTAAGGGAGAGGGCCTGGGCATGGCCTGAGTGCCAGCCCTGGCTCCTCCAGGCACTTGCTGCGGGACACTAACTGCTCCCTAAATCCCTTGGAGCCTCTTTCCTCACCTGCAAACTGCAAACTACAGTTATGGCCAGGTCACTGGCACATAGATGAGGTAATAGCCAGGAAGTTTCCTCATGCCTGCCTAAATCCTGGGTCTTGTCACACACCAAGAGCCCTGTGAGGAGGTGGTGGCATTTGGCATGAGTAAGGTGTCTTTGCTTCTGTGTTCATGGGGGTTTATGTGCCCCGTTCTGTACACAGAGCAGGTGCCTCCACGGGGCTATGTCACCTTCAACAGCAGTGATGAGAACCCCCTGGAAGGGGAGGGCCTCTGCTACCGGGATGTCACCTCCCCAATCAACGACCGGGATGTAGAGAGCAGCAGCAGCAGCAGCCGGGGTACGTAAGCCCGCCCACTCCAGTCAGCAAGGGGCTCGGTTAGATTCTGGGAGTCCTGTGTGTCCCCCCAAACCCATTCCACTGGGGCGTGGCCCTGTGCTGAGGCCATCCAATAGGGAGTGAGAGAGTGAAAGATAACAGAGGGCCCTGGCTGTTGTGAGGAGAACCAAAGACTGATGGGGCAGGTGAGGAGAAGCATCTGGTCCAGCATCCCCTGTGCATCTTAAGGGCAGCCATTCCAAACAGACCAGTTTAGCTCCTTGATTTGGAAGCCCTCTGAGGCTTTCCTAACTCCTCCCGGTGGGAAACGTCTATTGTAATTTCATGCATTCATCCAGCAGCTAGTTACCAAGGGCCCCCCTGTGTGTCAAGCACAGCTCTAGGTGGGTGGCATTTGTCAGTGAACAAGACCACTGCCCTGCCCGTCTGCGTAGAGGGAAGGTTTGGGACAGGTAGTCAGCGTGAGACAGTGTTTGTGGAGGGGACGAGTGCTGTGGCCAAAAACAGCTTGGCTCTGCAGCCACCATGAGTGAGGCTGTAGTCAGGCACCCGTCCTCACATTATCAGAGGAGCATGCGTTCTGCATCAACCTTGGGACTGTGAGGAGCAGCAGCAGCAGTGAGGGCCTGGCACGAGCCCAGGGACTCAGCAGCGAAGCCTCTCTGGAGAGCAATGACGTGAGTCTTTCTTGATCTCCCATCCTCCTCCCTTTCTTGATGTCGTGGGGGGAGGTTGTTACTTGAGATAACTTGAGATAAGTGAACTTGAGATAGGCAGCTCAGGTAACACGTGTTTGATGCATGTCTACACAGAGCTCAGAAGCATAACACTGAGCCTGCCCTCTGGGAGTGCCACCTGAGTTTGATGGCACAAAGTGCAGCGGAGGACACGGAGGTCAAGGAAGCCTCTGGATGGCGGGAGGGAACCGGTACAGGTCCAGGCGCAGCAGCTAGAAGTGCGGGCAGAGAGCAGAGTCTGGGCGCAGCCCTGATCACTGAGAGAACATCAGTGTAACTTCCACTCATGCCCCTTGCCGCAGGACTCAGATCACACACGAAAAAACTCAGTTCGCAGACAAACGAAGAGTTATATGAAGACCAAGAATCGTTGCAACAACAATGACAGCCAGATGTCTCCCAGCACCGGGACTTCCAGGACTGCCTGTTCCCCAGGATCTACTCCCCAAACTGAGAAGCTCCCCTACTCAGGACCCCAGGTACAACCATTTGTGTCACTGCTGGTTACACTCCTAGAAAGACAGTGCCTTTTGTGATATATGAGGCACTGCTGTGTGTTTATGATGGGCCAGGCACCGCTGAGACCACAGTGGGGGTGGTTTTTCCTCAAATGACCTATCAAGCTCCTCGGGCGCAGAAATGACTCCCAGTGGCGAGCTGCCCAGCTGCAGGGTTTGTGTCCCTAGGTGTGCATGATCCACTTGGCCTCCCTGAGCCTGGGGAGGAGAAAAACAGGACCTGTCTCAGATCTGCTCCTAGGAGCCAGTGACAAGCTGCATGTGTGCGGCACACTGTGCACTTGGCGTGATCGTGGGTTGTGCTGGCTGAGCATCTTCCTAGGGACTGCAGGTGCTGCTCAGCAGCTCAACTCTCTGATATGTGTTTGAGTTCTGCCCTGCGCAGGCAGAACTGGTACAAAGAGGAGGGAGAGGGAGAAGTATTTGTCACTTATTTGTTAAACTACCCACTCTGCTGGTCACTAAGAGCCTGCGGTTTTTCTGGCTTCTCCCTGCAGCCCCTCTCGAGGGCTGGTATTCCCAGGCTCATGGAGCAGGTGCACCTCATAGTTCCTTAAACACGTTGATTGGAATGTTTGTGTCGTGGTGGGATCTTAAGGCTGTTTCTTTGAGAAAGTACTTTGAGGAAAATGGCAGAGTAACAGCCTTCAAAAATTTGTTCCTCCATTGAAAGCAACAAAAAAACTGGCAAAAATAGAAATGGTGGAATTGAAAAATATGACGGAAATGAAAATCTCATTAGATGGGCTCAACAGGTCTGAGCAAGAAGAAGAATCAGGGAACTTGAACAGTGGTCATCTGAGAATATCTAGTCTGAGAAACAGGAAGAATGAACAGAAACCTGTGAGACACCATCAAGCAGAGCAACCTACACATGATGGTGGTCCAGGGGAGAGAAGAGCAGAAAAAATGAAGGAGCTTAACCTTCCCAAATCCAATCAAAAACATGCCTCTGCATCCAAGGAGCTCAGTGAACTCCAAGTAGGATAAACTTGAGATCCACACCTAGACACATCAAAATCAAGATTTCAGACAGAACTTGAAAAGAACCAGACAGAAGTGACTCCTCACATACAAAGGATTCTCAGTAAGATTAACAGCTTCCTCAACACTCCTTCATAGAACCAAGCATTTGTAAGGACGGGGAATGAAATTTCCAGTGACATACACAAGGCTAGGTCACAACCATGAAGAAGTGGAAGGAGAAGGTCTTGAATATCCCACTTCGTGCACTGCCCAGCCTCCCCCTTGGATCTCCAGACTCCATGCTCTGCCTGAGGGCATGGAGAGCAGGATGGGCAGCTTGGGCTCTCCCCACGGACAAGTCTTTGCCCTGATGCTGAGTTTGTGGAAGCAGTAGGGCTCAGAATAGGATGAGGCTTCGAGAATGTGAGTTTAGCAAGGAGGGAGATGGTTCTGTACTGCAGCTCGCACCTCCTCTTGTCCCCCCAGTCCTCCTGCTGTCTTCTCTGCCCTCTAGGACCTTGCTGCGCTGCTGGAGCAGATTGGGTGTCTGAAGTACCTGCAGGTGTTTGAGGAACAGGATGTGGACCTCCGCATCTTTCTGACCCTCACCGAGAGCGACCTGAAGGAAATAGGCATCACGTGAGTCCAAAGGGGCCATTGCTGGGCCTCAGCCCCTCATTTTAAGCCAGATGTTCTGAGACCAGCTTAGGTGCCTACATCATCCAAGGAGGATGGAAAGAGCTGCTCTATCTAGAAGTGGGCTTTCTTCCTCCAGAGCCAACTGTCCTGCTCCCCACCTTGTGAGGTGCAGAGGGCCCCAAGATGGCATGGCTGACACCACTGTGACCACTGCGTTCAGGACACTTGAACATTTTCTGCTGTGTTTTTTGCTGTTGTTGTTTTTTTAGTATTTTATTACCCTATTTTCCATGATTAGAACATAAGAATTCTACAAATGATAATCCTCACCGTTTCACTAGAGATAGCAGAATAATATATTGTACAGGTTTCTTTTTTCTCAAGAGCATGAATATAAAGTAGTTTAACATAAAATCCAAATAATTAAAGCCTGTTATCTTGAAACATCCTCCTGTGCACACAATTGAAGTTTGTGTCTTTAATCATAACTGCTTGTGAGTGACCCTAACGCTTCAGAGTGCTTCCACATTTGTTATCCCATCTGCTCATCATCACATCCCTTTTCTGAGATCTTTATTTCTTCATACGGCTTCCAGTTACCACCTTGCTTCCCAACATTTCACCCCGGACTCCCTTGAGCACTTCTTGCAGGACTGGTCTAGTGGTAATGAGCTTCCTTGGCTCTTACTCATCTTGGAATGTCTTCATTTCTCCCTCACTTTTGAAGGACAGTTTTTTGCCAAATAAAGGATTCTTGGCTGACAGTTTTTCTTTTAGCACTTTGAATGGAGGCCAGAAGCCAGTGGGCTATATAAACTTTCAGATGAGAAATCTGCTGACAATTTTATTCAGGATCCCTTGTATGTGACAAGTCACTTCTGTCTTGCTGCTTTCAAGATTCTTTGTCTTTCAGAAGTTTAATTACAGTGCATCTTGGTGTTGGGCTTTTTTAATTCATCACATTTGGAGTTCATTCAGCTTCTTGCATGTTTACATTCATGTCTTTCATCAAATAGTCTTTCTGCTCCTTTCTCTCTCTTCTCCTTAGTGTACATTGGCTTGCTTGATGGTATCCCATTGTCCCTTAGACTTTATTTTTACTCCATAATTTCCATTGTGTTATCTTTAAGTTTGCTGATTCTTTCTTCTGCCTGCTCAGATCTGCCTTTGAATCCCTCTAGTGAATTTTTCATTTCAGTTATACTTTTCAGCTCCAGAATTTTTTTGGTTTCTTTTAGGTTTTCTTTCTTTCTTTATTTTTTATTCTTTTTTCCGTGTCCGGCAACGGATCGCAACCCTCAGTGTCGCCCCCGTACCGGACCGGGACCGGCAACGGGATCGCACCCCTCGGTGCTGCCCCCGTGCCTCGCTCAGCCAGTGAGCGGGAACCGGTCTGCATGTGGGATCCGAACCCTCAGCGGGAGCGCCTCCGCGCTTCCCAAGCGGCGCACTAGCGCAGTGCGCCACCGGGCCGGCCCTTCTTTTAGGTTTTCTTTCTTTCTTTATTTTTTATTCTTTTTTCCGTGTCCGGCAACGGATCGCAACCCTCAGTGTCGCCCCCGTACCGGACCGGGACCGGCAACGGGATCGCAACCCTCGGTGCTGCCCCCGTGCCTCGCTCAGCCAGTGAGCGGGAACCGGTCTGCATGTGGGATCCGAACCCTCAGCGGGAGCGCCTCCGCGCTTCCCAAGCGGCGCACTAGCGCAGTGCGCCACCGGGCCGGCCCTTCTTTTAGGTTTTCTATCTCTATTGATATTTCCATTTTGTTTATACATTGTGGGTTACTTTTTCTTTCTTTCTCCACATCTTTTAGTTCTTTAAACATTTTTAAGACAGTTTTAAAATCTTTGTCTAGGAGATCCCCCATCAGATCTTTTTCAGGGACAATTTCTGTTGTTTTTCTCCCCCCTTTAAATGGGCCATACTTTGTTTCTTTGTATGTCTTGTGATTTTCTTTGATGAAAACTAGACATTTAAGTCTAATAATGTGGTAACTCTGGAAATCAGATTCTACTCCTTCCCCAGGATTTGCCTGTTTTTTAAAAAATTTTTTGTGGCTGTCTCTGTGCTGAGTATCAGACTGAGGTGTAAACTCAACGTCTTAGGTCTTTTCTGAGCCCATGCCTTCCTCTGGGTAAGAGTGGGGGCTTTCTAATATCCACATATAGGCAATTGTTTTTGAGTATGTTTGTCTTTTTTTTTTTTCTTTGCAGCTGGCCAGTACAGGGATCAAACTCTGGACCTTGGTATTTTTCCCCTTTTAAGAGCCAGACATTAAAGAAAAGAACAAAGAGAGGGCTAGGTAGTTAACCAACTGAGCTAAAGCGTGGTGCTGGCAACACCAAGGTCCAGGGTTCAATCCCTGTACCAGCCAGCCACCTGAAAAGGGGAGCAGGGGAGAGAGAAAAATGGAGAAAGAAAAGGTGCAGCAGCCCTTTAAATCCCCTGAAAGTCACTAAGGCCAGAGGGGGAGCAGCTTGCAACAATGGCCACCTGCCTCTTCGTCTATACCTCTGTGATCAGAAGCAGCAATCAGTGATCAGAGCACTGATCTCTGATATTTAGAGGACAAGGTCTGTATTATCTTCTCTGGTTCCTGCAAGCTGTGGGGCTGAGGGGCACGGTACAGATAGCTACTACTTTTCTAAGAGCTGAACCTGACCGAAATTTACTGCACTTTACCATCCAAGCCTTCCCCTGGAAGTTACAAGCCATCAATAGACTCCAAAGAAGGGTTGGCTGGTTAGCTCAGTTGGTTAGAGCATGGTGCTAACACCAAGGTCTAAGGTTCAATCCCTGTATCAGCCAGCTTCACATCCCCCACCCTCGCCCCACCAAAAGACTCCACAGTTCCAAAGTAGTTACATCAGATTCTGCCAGTGCAGTTGTCGTCTGGGTGGGGAGACAGATTCCTAATATTGAAAATCCCACCATCTTCCCAGACTTCTCTCTGCTGGCTTACCTTTGAGCACCTCCTGAATAGACAGAGATGGAGCCCATGGCAGGGGAGTGGAACAGGTGTAGGAGGCTTTTTATGGCCCTTTGTTTCTGTCCTCTGCCCCAGGATCCCAGGGGACCCTTCCCTTTCAGAGCTAAGAGCTTTCCTAGGGTGATAGTGTTGGTGGCAGGATGGTCCATGGAGTCCCCATGCATACAGTGGTGGCAGGTGATGATCTGTGCCCTTTTCTAATTCATTCTTGCAGGTTGTTTGGGCCCAAAAGGAAGATGACTTCTGCCATCGCCCGCTGGCACAGCAGCGCCCGCCCCCCCAGTGATGCCCTGGAGCTGGCCTATGCCGACCGGCTGGAGGCTGAGATGCAGGAGCTCGCCATCCAGCTGCACAAAGCAAGCAGGGAGCAGGGGAGGGCAGTGTCAAGAGCCGCACCCTTGCAGAAGAGGACACAGTGTGGAAGGGAGGGTGGGGGACAGGCAAGGCAGGGCAGCACCTGGAGTCAGCCAAGGCAGCGTCACGGCTCACACACAGAGGAGAGCGACGCACAGGCGGGCTCCCTTGTACAGGCAGGATACTCAGCGGCATGCGGGGAGGAGGACAGATGGGGAGCAAGTGGCTGGCATGGGAACCGGAGTCTTAGGACAGGACCAAGGTGGAGAGAGGGGAAGAGATGGGGGCAGAGACAGATGGCAGACTCCCCCCTCTGGGAGGGAAAGAGCCAGCCCACATCCCAGCCTCACCCCCCACCTGCAGCGCTGTGAGGAGGTGGAGGCCATGCGCGGCCAGGTGTCCCAGGAGCAAGAGCTGCGGGCCGTGGTGGAGAGCTGTCTGCTGGAGCAGGATGGTGCCCGCAAGGCCGTCCACACCCAGCTGCAGGAGACCTGGGCCCTGGCCCGGGAAGCTGCCCTCATCCTGGACCAGCTGCGGTGAGTGGCTCTGAGCTGCCCAGGGCAAGTCCTTTCATCTGCCAACCAGGCTGCAGAAGAGCTCCTGCAGGTCCCAGGCACCCATCATCAATTCTTCCTGGTTTTCTAACCAAAGGGGGGTTTCAGGGCCTGGGGTCACTCACTGCCCCCACTCACAATTTGGTTCTGGCCCTTGGAAGACCCAGGCAGAAAACAAGGCCATGCATGGTCTCTCTCCTGCTGGTCAGTGCAGCTTCCTGGGGTGGCCAAGAAGCCCTCTGTGGGGATGTAGTGGGGAAGGGGGAGGCCTCTACCCTCACTTGCACTTGGTCTTGTGTCACAGAGCCTGTCAAGTTGAGCTGTCAGCCCGAGTGAGGCAGGATCAGTCCCCCAGTGTGGCCACCCTGGGCCCAGCCCTCCTGTCAGCTGGTAAGGGGAGCTTCTAGGCCCCAGGATTTCATCCAGCAGTCTCAGCGTGGTTATCACATAGGGACCTGAGCCCCTTCCTCAGCTGTGGTGGGAGGCACAGCTCCAACAGTGTTGGGAAAGGCCCTGGAGGTGTGGCTGACTGCACTGTCCAAGACTGCCAGTGACTTCTGCAGCCTCTAGTTTGGGTTAGGGCCACCCAAGGGCACAGCTTTGCTGTACTTCCTGGGGCTAAGCTCCTACCAGCAGTTAGTACTTTGATCAGCAAGCAGAAAGAGAAAACATTTTGATGGCACAAGTCTTTTTGGTCTTGTGGGCTCCCAAGTCGAGAGGGGTATAACAGGGACTCCCCAGCCTTGATCTTTGGGAGTTACTCAGGCATTGATCCTAGGAGGGTCTCCTGGGCACAGGGGCTCAGGACACAGACCCCAAGCCAACTCAACCCTCTGCACCACAGACTCCAAAGGCTGGCAAGTGTCCCTGCAGGCCATGAGCCTCCCTGAGCTGTCAGGAGCCCTGGAGGACCACATCCATGAGATGGGTGAGTCTCCAGGAGGGGACAAGAGTGTGAGGGACCAGTGGCCAACACTTTGGTGAAGCTTGAGAGCCCCTAGTATTTCAGAGGGAGGCAGAGGGATCATGACCAGCTCAGCCCCCTGGACAACCCCACCCTGCCCTACTGAGCAGGGGCTAGACAGGCTGAAGGCCATTCATTCCTCGTGTCCCGAGACCCCCTTTCCTCCCTGCTCCTGCTGCCCAGACTTGCCACAGAGCACTAACTATCCACCACATCCTCAGGGCGAGCACTATGCTCAGTGACCCAGAGCCTGGAGAAGCTGCAGGTGCTGAACGGGAAGGAGAAGTGGCGGGAGCCCTAGCTGGGAGGGATGGTGAGTGTCTGCCAGCCCTGAGCCCACATCCACAGCAGGACACAGGCGGGGGCAGCAGGATCTGCTCCAGGCAGCTGCCCACACATCCATCCACCTACCTCAGTCTTGCCTCCTCACCAGGGCCTTTTCCTTTCCAGAATCTGACGTTGGGTGATTGATCCACCCTGAAGTTGTGTGCCAGGAAGACAGGAGGGCAGTGAGCAGGCAGCTGCAGCAGCTCAGGCCCCAGTCCGGGCCGGAAGATCAGGCCCCAGGGACCAGCCGGCAGACAGAGGCAGGACGGAGCTGCAGCCCCTGCCCAGGCAGCTTAGGCTAGCACTGAGGCAGGATGAGGACTTGTCACTCAGAACCTGGCAGTAAGGCCCAGAGCTCATGGACCACCCTGGCCCAGGCCAGGCAGGGCCTTGGGAAGAGAATGTGTCCCCATACATGCAGGCGCCACACTGAGGTTTGACTTTAAGGGTGAGGACTAAGGCACCTGGAAAATGTTATTTTGTTGGAAAATAAAATTTAAGGTTACCTGGTGAGGGGCTCTGTTCTGGTCACGTGACATGCAGTCCTGGCGGACAAACCAGTAGGGCCAAAGCCAAGCCTGCAGCCCCAGGGACCAGGGCTCTGGTGGACACCACTGTGGCCCAGCCCTAGAATGCTTTGCGCAGAGCCACACTGACTCAGCGACCCATTCTGCTCCCCTCCCCCTAGCTCAGGGTACCTTTGCTCCATGAGCCCATCATTCCACAGAACCTGGCGTGACTCAAGACAGGATCTGCTGTGGAAGCTAGGCACGTTCTCAGGCAACACGAGTGAGCCAGGTATGGGTGATTTATTTACACAGCAAATGCCTTCCCCACAGGAGGCTCCTATCGTGCTCCAAAGTGAAGCAGGGAGCACCGCCTTCCTTACCAGGCCAGGCATGGGCTGTGGAGATTTTCCAATCGCACCACTGGAGTTTTCCAGACATGGGGCTGTAGGAGACCGCCAGTGGTGGCCTTCCTGTCCCGTAGTGGCTCTGCTGTTGTCACTCTGCACACTAAGCCTGTGCTTCCAGACCATCCCCTGGAGCTGCTTGCAGACTGCTGAGAATGGAGAAAGGCAGGTTTTCAAAGCAAAGGTAAGAGCAGCAGGCTCAGCCCAGGTGCAGCGAGAGCCACCAGGATCAGGAAAGGGAGCCTGACATTGACGGTCTCAGCACAGAAGCCACCAGAGATCAGGCTGCTAATGTCCCAGTAAAAACAAAGGGAGATGGATACTGTGGCTGGGGCAGCTCCTCCCTATGCACCACCTGGGACAGAAGGCCCAAGCTGACTCCACACAGTGTCCAGCGCCTGGGGACCCAGAGCCCCTCTCTTGGGCCCAGCTTCCGTGTCCAGGAGAAGGAAACCAGCACCTACCTGCCTTTAAGGTCTTGGTAGTAAGGGAGGAGGCACCTTCCCAGGCCCAGCCCAGGGCCTCCAATCCAGACCAAACAACACACAATGGCTGAAAGGTGACTTGTCTTTTTCTCCTTCAACAACTCCATACATAGCTGGGCCCCAAGACTATCCTTGGGAGCCAAGCCACAGTGAAGTAAAGCCACTTTGAAGCTTCACCCAAGTTCACACACCATGAATGAGAAAAGCTAACAAAACCCCACAACAACCAAAACAGTACAACATTCTACCCCAAGCTGGCTCTTCTACAGGCCCTGGGGCTGGCTCAGGGGAAGGAGGGAGCATTGAGACAGAGGTATTATCCACCAGAACAATCGCCTCCCAAACGGTCTGAGAGCTGTGCACCTGCCCTTTGGAAAACCAGGAGCTAACTGGGGCCACCCCCAGCCCATGAGGAGACTCGAACAGAAGAGGGTCTGAGCCTTGGGGTAGGAGAAAATGTCCTGAGCCTGAAGAGCCAGGCCCAGGTTGCCCACTGACCAACCTGAGTGGGCGGGCTGGGTCCCAACGGGCCCGGCCACTGCCCAGTGACTGCTGGGGACAGTGGAGATAAGATGCCCACTAGCCCCCTGCAGTCAGAAGCAGTGTGCAACACAGAAACACACTAGAAGACACACTTCCATAGGAATTCCAGGGCCAAGTCTCCTTGGCCCATGGGCAGAGATACAGCCCAGGAAAGACGACAGACAGCCGGCACAGAACCACCTCAGGAGGAAGCTGGGAGCAGCTTTTCCAGGGCTTTCTTCTGCTTCTCTGTGGCCGCAGCCAAGGCCTCAGCCAGCTTCTCCTCGGGCATCATGTTGAGCACCTTGAGGGCGAAGAGGAGCTGGTACTTGGCGGTGCTGATGAAAGCATTGCTCAGGAAGTTGGGAAAGCCCCCGACTCGGTCTTTCTGGGTGTACAGCGGGACCCGCACGAGGCCCAGCACCTGCATGGACAGGAGGCCAGGGTTGGGGCCAGGGCCTCCACGCAGCCGGCACACCCCTGGCAGGAGAGACCTTTATGCTACAAGGCCAGGGCAAAAGCTGCCAGTTTTGCCAAGAACACAATGGTAGACCCAGCAGGGTCTGGCAAGGGGGAAGTCAGCCAGTGCCCTTGGAGCAGTGCAGCCCCCTCATCCCCAAGCAAGTCTTGAGGCCAACCCCATGCACTCCCACCCTCTACCCTAAGGCTGGCAAGAAGCCTCGTATGTCACTTCCCAGTCCACACCCCATGCTCCCAAACACCCCCAGTCTCACCCCCAGCCCTTCCAGACCACAAAACCCACAGATCCCACGAGCCTCATACCTGCTCCCTCCCCGGCTATGACATTCCCAAGCCCTACAAGCCCCATTTCTGCTCCTCAGTTCCCCACCTCCCCAAGCAGGCACCGCTCCCATCCCAGCCTCCCCAGTGCCCCCGCTCCCCACTCTCAGGATTGGCAATGGCAGGCAGCAAGGCGGACGGAACACAGCCCTGAGGGAGCCCCAGCCCCCCTCTCCTCGCCTCCCGACCCCGAGCCCCTCTCCCCACCCACTGCCGGGGACAGCGACGCCCGCCCAGCCCGGCCAGGGGACGCTCAGGGAGACGTGTTACCCATCGGCGCCTTCCGCGGGGCCAGAGCCAAGCCCGGGGCGGGGCGGGGGCGGGGCCCGGGCAGCGGCCCCACCTCCAGACCGTGGTCGCGCGAATGCACCGCGCTGATTTCCACGGCGTGCAGCTGCTCCAGCGTCAGCTGCCGCGCGTACAGGTGCGCCACGACGCGGTGCGGGCCCTCGGTCAGGTGCGAGCTCAGGTAGTCAGCCTCGGTGAGGCGCAGGCAGCCCAGGCCCAGGCCCAGCACGCGGTTCAGGCCGTCCTCCAGCGACCAGAAGCGCCGGTCCACGAAGCCCCCGGGAAAGCCCAGCAGTCCGTCGAAGCGCATCTGCATCTGAAGGGAGCGCCGGGTCACGGGAGCGGTGTCGGCCGGCGCCCCGGCCCGCCCCCGCGCCCGTCCCCGTCCTCACCAGCACCGAGAAGCGCATGGGGATGCGGCCGAAGAGCTGCCCGGGGTTGGCGGCGTACAGCATGGCGTGGCAAGAGTGGCTCCAGCCCGGCCCCAGGCGCATCGCCTCCTCGCGGCTGATCTGCTTCAGCTCCGGTACCGCCGCCGTCGACATCTTAGCACTGCCCCCGATGTCCGTCCGCCGCCGCCTAAGTGCATGCGCGGGCCCGGCCAATCCGCGGGCCTGGGTTCCGCCCCACCCCCCTCCCCCCCCGCCAATTGCCGGCGCCCTGACGCGGCGTTGAGAGGCGGAGGGGGCCGTGTGCAAACGCAGGGGGCGGTGCGCGCCCCAGACGTCACCCAATAGCCGCGCGCCCAGAGCGGCGGCTCTGCCTGCGGCCCTAGAAAACTACAACTCCCAAGATGCAACGCACCAGATCGGAGGGGTGCGGACCGAGCGTCCTCGGTGCTCACGCTGTCCTCAATCAACTTCTCCGTGGGCACCCAGAGAGGACAGCCGGGAATCCCGACACTTACTGCACCTTCGATGGTGCCGGCTCCCTTTTCCTTCAGTGGTTTCTCCCTGGGAGGCCGAGCCGGCCCGGGTGGCCCTGTCCACCGCGACATCGCCCCTGTGCGACCACACGAGCCAGCGAAGCTCCGGGCCTTTTCTCTGCCAGGCCCCGCGCCCCTGGGGTCCCGGGGCGGGCGGGGGGCACCTGCCTCCGGAAGTCTTCAGAGCTCGTTACTCGGCTGAGACCTGAGCTCACAGGGTGACGACCTCCCCCTGTCCTGGGCCTCTCTGCTGGTCTGCCTACTCCAGAAAAGCAAAGACAGCAGGGCCTCAGAGCTCCGACTGTCCCACAGCCCCCGAGTCCACGCTCAGCCCTGGCATCTGGGGTGGATGGCCAGGAGCTCTGGGGCTCCCTGGACCTAGCCTACTGGGGCAGGAAGTGACATAAATCCGCGGGCTGGAGGCTTTCTAGCCCAGTGCCCCAAGTGCCCTCCTGGCCAGGAACAGTATGCCAGGCACTGTTGGGGGAAGTTTACCGACGAGGATCCTGGGCCTGAGAGGGGGACAGGACTTGCCTAAGGGCACCCAGCAGTTGGTGACAGAGCCAAAATCCCACCCTGTCTCTAACCCAGTGTCAGCACCACGCTCACCCAGTGAGCAAAGCGGCCATCCCTATATGGGATCCAAACCCGCAGCCTTGGTGTTATCAGCACCACACTCTCCCGAGTGGGCCACAGGCCGGTCCTTCTAACCCAGTGTCCACAACAGAAAGTTGCCTGATTCTGCAAGGGAGTGCCTTGAGGTACTAACCCCATGTTCATTCTAGAGAAGGAAGTCACCAGAGCTCGGAAGCATCAGAAACACTATCCAAGGGAGAGGGATGGGGCCCCCTGAACCCCACAATGGCCAGGCTCACCTCACCAGCTGCTTGGCCCGGGCGCCATTTTCCTCCTCCCCACAGTGGACATGGATTTGCTGAGTTAAGGAACCCTCCCCTACTCGCATGCCCTTGTAGGATGGGTGCCCAGGGCTGGGGCTGCAACCTCGCGAGAGCCTTGCAGTCAGACCAAGCTCCATGGCACAGGTAAGGCTGCCCTGAATGAAGCCGAGCAGGAGGAAAGGAGAGGCAAGCAAAGGGTGGGTAAGGGTTTGCAGGATCCACCATGACCATATCTGAAGGGAAAGGGTCCCCCCATCCAAAGAGGGCCCCACCTCCAGGCAGCCCAGCACAATCTCAGCCCAGGAGGAAAGGCTCCCCTTGTTCCAACCCCTCCCCAACATCAGACATTAATAAAGGGGCGGGGTGTGCTGGGAGAAGTGCAGAGGGAGATCCGATTCAGCCCACACAAGAGCCTGTCTGACATACTGAGCACCTCTCCACTCATACTGCAGGGCCATGGGTGGCAGGCCTTCCCTGGGGCAGGGACCAGTGGCCCAAGAACACCACAGCCCCCTCCACCCTCATGAGCTTGAGTCAAGGAGGGGTGGTGGAGGCAGCTTGAACTGTGTTTGCACAGGAGCTGGGGGTCCTGTGTGGTGGAGGTCCTCCATCACTGACCACCCCCTGCTGGGAGGCCACTCCTGGGCAGAGGCCCTGGGCTCGGCTCCAGCCTCCAAACCCATCATCTCTGAGCAGCTAACCTGTTCCTTCAATCCTTTCGCCACATGACAGCCACAGGTGATGCTCCCCTGCTTACAAACCTCTGTGCTTAAAAGAAATCTGACTGCCCCTTGTAAAAAATCCAGTCACCTCTCAAGGTCTTCAAGTCTCTGCCCCCAGCAGCCCTCCCTCATACTCCAACCAGTGGGCTTCTTTCCACCATGGACACATGAGGGTCACTCCTGTCCCAGGCCTTTGCACTTAGCACTGCTCCACAGCCCCCTCATCCTTCAGGGCTTCAGATGTTTCCTCGAAGACTTCCCTGACCACATGGATAAATTAAGTCTCTCCTACGACTTCATCTCATCACCCACCGACTTCCTTCCTAACAGTAACCAAATGTCAAAACTTTGATTACCTATTCTGCATCCCACTGACTGTAATGCATGTGCCCAGGGGCCTGGGCCTTATATGATTTGCCCTCCCCTGGCACACAGCAGATACTCAGTAAACATCTGTGGGATGAATCAGTGATGGAGATGGGGATCAGAGGCCTGGGCTCCTGAAGAGGGGAGCCAAGTCCCAAGAGTCTGGCTTCCCTCCATCCAGAGGACCAGCACTGATGACAGTGAAAATAGTAATAACAGCAGTGAGGGCATGCACTCTCTCATCTAATCCTTGCCCTTGCCTGGAAGTCATACTGTCACTGCCCTCCTACACACGAGGAAACTGAGGCAGAGGCCATATGCTGTCAGGGTGGGGAAGCCACCACTCATCACTCAGTGTCCTGCCTCTGGATCAAGAAACAATGACCAGAGGAAGCAGTGGACAAGATATTGCTGCATGATTTTATTACTATAAATATACAGTAAAAATGAACAAAAACGAGCCAATCAGAATACATCAAGTGATAGCACATATAAGTCCAAGACAGGCCAGTCCTCATTCATCCTTCAAAGTACTAGCGCCAACACCAATGGCGAGAGGCCAGCGCACAGGCGGGGGCAGAGGGGTGTGGGAGGGCGACAACCCACCCATGTGTGTGCATGTGTGTGTACGCATGAGCTCACAGGAGCCAAGAAGGGAAGCTGGCCTGGATGCACGAAGACCACGTTCCACTCACAGGCTCGGCCCAAGAACCAGTCCTCCACTGTTGGGTTTCTCTCCCAAGCGCCCTGTCAGGCAAAGCCAGGGCTCGGAGCAACCCCAAGCCTCAGGGAGGGCACTGGGTGGGGCCCAGGGCTGTGCAGGGTCCTGTGGACTGCTGGGGGCCATCCCACCACCATCCTTCCCACAGGGGTGGATGTAGGGCAGCTCCCTGACAGGCTCAAAGCCCTGCTGGGGCAGCTCTGGCCTGGGGCACCAAGGCCAGGCACCTCCTCTGCCTTTCTGTTGCTGGAAGTTTAAAAAGGCAAGGTCACCTTAGAAGCAAAGCATCATGGCCAGACCCCTGCTCCCCCAGGCAGGTCCTGCAACAGGAGCCCAGACAGAACAAAGCAAAGAGAAATGCAGAGGGACCTTTAAATGGTGAACAGGGAGCCAAGGAAACCACCCAGTGTGCTCCCTGGCAGGTGGACGGCAGGGCCACAGGCTGCATAGACCCCCGCCCCCCCACACGTGGGCTCTGACGAGGTAAGCAAAGCCAGGACCCAGCAGACACCGGCCAGCCGCCTCCACACCTCGGGCAGGCCCAGCACCACACCCACACCCCTGGCTGCCCAGGGGAGGGCCGGAGCAGAGAGGGGCAGCAGAGAGCAGAGCGGCTGGGACAAACACGGCTGATGGTGGAAAGCAGCCGCGGCAGCATGCGTGGAGGCATGCGGACAGACACCGTTTCCTTCATTGACCGTAAGTTGGCCCCATGTCCTCCCAGAGCATCTGTGAGGACAGCACTTCACCCACTAATAAGTTCTCTTCTGCTGGTTTGTTAAGTTCTTGGGGTGCCAACCCACTGCCAGGTGGGTGCTGGGTAAAGCCAGTCCCAAGCTGCTCGTGGGCAGTCACCCCCCAGACCTCGCACCTCAGCTAACAGGGCACTTGGGGGGCACCCCAGGGCGCAGTGCCTGGCACAGAAAGCTGCTGTCCTTCATCTTGAACCATTGACAAATACATCAACTGTAGAAAAAGGGTTTGTACAGGGGACAGTCCACTGTGCTCTTAGATCGAGGGTCACCATGGTGCCTCAGAACCTGGTGGCCTTACTGGGTGTGCAGACAGTAGAGGGAGGCCAGGGTCACACTGGGGTTTGGGGCAGCCCCTCGGCAAAGTCCAGGCAGCTGAGGGCTCCAAGCTGCCACCTGGCCAGGATCTCAGAGTGGTGTCAGCTCCGTGGTGCCAGGGTCAGGACTGGGGCCGCCCAGCGGAGGCCAGGGGGGACCAGTGGTGGTGCTGAGGCTGCAAGGTGTCTCCATGGAGGTGGGCCATCCTGAGGTGGGGCAGAGGGAGAAGGGGTCAGGCTCAGCCACGCAGTCCCCATCACCTGCTCCCACCAACCATGAGCCCAAGGACAGGGCTACTCTCACCCCGCACCTGTCTGTGGCGAGAACAGCAGATTCGATCAGATGTGACCACACAGAGTGCCCACTGCCCTTGGCACCTGACAGTGGAGCCACAGCCCAGGACAGTGCATGGTGGTGCCCTGGCTGCTGGCCCTCTGGGTCTCCAGCCCTCACCCTGGTCTGAGATTCCCTGATCTGAGCAGCTACTGTCCTGAAAAGAGCTTTATGACTGGGTTAGGTTAGATCTCGGTCAACCACAGAACAAGGTACGTGGGAGCAGAGCTGAGACGCTCAGAGTGGCCCCGTGGGCAGCTTCCGCGAGGTGGAGGCAGGGGCCTCAGGAGCTTGCCTGGCGGTCCACACGGGCCTCTTCTGCTTGTTCCCTACTGTCACCACCACAGTGCCGCAATGCCATGAGGCCCTCTGTCCCTGGACAGGGTCTGCCCCCTGGAGCTCAGGTAATGGGACCCTTAGGGCTGCCCCCAGACTTGGCTGGCCATACCCTGGGTGAGGAGCGACTGTGCAGGGTGCAGCTGTGCCACTGCAATAGGCCATGACACCCTGTTTCAGGTCTGCCTGAGCTCCTACTTCTGCAAGCTTTACGTAAACTCAAACACCCAAATGGTATCTCTCACCGACGTGGAGGCTGTGGCTGACTGTATAAATACAGTGTTGTTGTTCTTTCAGTAGAGGGATGATATTTGTCAGAAGAAATGTTCAAGGACAAGAAAGGTCTGTGTGGGGACGTAGAAGCAGCTGCCAACCACCCCAGCCTGGTTCAGGTCGGCCGACAAAGAAAGGCCCGCAGCTCAGAGAATGGGAGGCCACCTGGGGCAATCCCCAGAAAGGCTGCACAGGCCTCACGGCCACAGTGGCCCTAGTCCTGTGGGGACACCCTAACCACAGATCAGCAGATGTCCCAGAGCTGCTCACAGGGTGTGCACCCAGAACCTTCAGGAGGGGAAGAGGGTCCCCACTGTTTGCCTGTTTTTTTTTTTTTTTGTTTTTTTTCCCTTTTTGTCTTTTTTCGTGACCGGCAACGGATCGCAACCCTCAGTGTCGCGCCCGTACCGGACCGGGACCGGCCACGGGATCACAACCCTCGGTGCTGCGCCTGCACCTCGCTCAGCCAGTGAGCGGCCGGTCTGTATGTGGGATCCGAACCCTCGGCGGGAGCGCCGCCACACTCCCAAGCGGCGCACTGTAGCAGTGCGCCACCGGGCCGGCCCCCATGTTTGCCTGTTTTTGAGTGATGGCACTCTTTGAGCTGCCTTTAGTAAGAGGTCCACATAGGCCATACTGGGAGAGGGGACCTCCCTGTCCAGTGGGGCACCAACCTCATGGGGCCCCCTTACAGACTGCTCAGAGTGTGCTGGTGTCCCAGAGGTTCCAGAGGCTGAAGGGGCAGGTTAGTCAGCAGCACCAGTGGGCTTACAGCAGAAAGGCACAGCAGTGCACTACTGTCTGACAAGCACACAGTGACATCGGGGCCACGGAGCCATGCAGACAAGTGGAGGAGGTAGCAGGGAATGGGGGGGGGGGCTATGTAAGTGGACGCTCTCTGCACAGGAAGCAAGACGGTCTCCACACAAGACCAGAGACCCTAAGGACAGACTTCCTCCAACAGACAGGGCCTCCCACTGCCTGGGACATACTATTTTCCTATTTGTTCCTTAATGCCACAGCCAGAAAACAGGAGCAGATCTTGCTGAGTGCCCCAACACGTCTACTGGGACCATTGGCAACTCGGCTGTGATGCCCTGGAGCAAGGCCTGGCCTCAGGCTGGAGCTGTACCCTTGGGACGTGGCCCAGTGTCTCCTCAAGGTTTCCTGGTCTCCAGGTGCTGCCTGGGCAACCCTGATCCTCCAGGCTCCTGCTTCCTGCTGGGAATAGTGGCTCTGGCATGCCTCGGCTGTGTCACCATTCTGGGGACCCTAAAATCTGGAAAAGCCCAACCAAGCCACCTAATCCAGATGGAAAAACCTCCAACTCCAAAAGTCAGGACTCTCCAGGGCTCAAGTGCAGGGGCCTTGGAGAACTCTGGATTCAGAATTCAGGCCCTCAGGAAAACATGGATGCGGATGAAGACAGGAAAATTGGAAGGACCCCCCCCCCGGAGCGGGGGGGAGAAGGGGACAGCTCCTCTTTCCAAGGATGCCCGTCAGAGCCACCCGAAGTGTGTATAAAAGGAGTTCACGTGCCAGCTTACTCCTCTATACCAACAGAGCAGGGAGAGACAGATGGAAGCTGAGTTAGCAAGCACTCGCAACAGACCAGCACATTCCATGGCAGAGGCACCAGCTTAGGACAAGATGAGGGCTGTCAAGAAGCAAAATACACACACGTGTTGATGCTGCAACGAAGGAGAAGCAAGAGCTGGAGACAGAGCATCTGGGCCTTGCTGTAATGCGGGGGACATGGTGGCTCTGTCCCTTCCTCCCACTGCTCAACTGCTCAGCCTAGGTCAGGGCACCGAGGGTGCATGTGCGGGCGCAGCTCCACCTCTGGTTTCAGGAACAAGGGCTGGGAGCTGGACAGGGCTGACCCCAAGGCGGAAGCCCACAGAATGCTGGGCACCTAGACTTTCTTTTTTTTTTGTCCTTTTTGAGACCGGTGGCACCACGCTCAGCCAGTGAGCGCTGTGAGCGCACCAGTCATCCCTATATAGGATCCAAACCCGCGGCGGGAACGCTGCCGTGCTCCCAGCGCCGCACTCTCCCGAGTGCGCCTCGGGCTCGGCCCTGGGCACCTAGACTTTCACCATTTTATGGATTTTTCTCCAAGCTTCTTTTTTTCCATCTACCCATCTACAAGGGACACTGAATTATTCTTTAAAGAGAATGAGGGGACCAGCCAGCTGCCAAAAAAAAAAAAAACCTCTGTCTCTCTCTCTCATGTAAAGGGGGAGAAACCAACAAGAAGAACAAGAGGACACGTGTGTGTGTTCACATTCTTAAAACACACACTGATGCTGGGAGATGCTAACGATCTCCGTTAAGTGAAAAAAGCCAGTAGAACAGAGTGTGCCACCACGTGGATATAAAAGACACAGAAACGTGCAGGACACTGGTGTGCCATCAGCAGGAGCTCAGACCTGAGGACGTGCAGGAGATACAGACAAACGCTGGCAGGGCTGCCCCCTGCAGTCTGCACTGCAAGCATCAAGAAACAGCCAACCCTGTGCAATGAGCAGCCCAGGAGCAGTGACACGGCCCCTCCTCTCCCACTTCCACAGGTAACTGCCTCTGCCTGTGGACCTAAAGAAGGCCTGAGACGCTCACTTGGGGCTAGGGTGCGAGAGCAGGTGTGCTAGTCTCACCTGTGGGTAGGGGCCGAGCTAGCCACGCTTTGCAGATGCTGCCATCAGTCAAGGTGCCCCCTCGGGCTGCCCTGCAGGATCAGAACTTATACCTGTGGCTCCAGGAAGCCTGGTCTCTCTCCTGACTATCTCCCTGCTTCTTCCTCACATTTTTGATCAGAATGAAATCCTTGAGACACTTTGAAAGGATTTAACTTGATTTCATGTCACTTTAAGATGTGCTGGCCCTATGCATGGCTTCTGACTTGGGTCTGTGTTCTGGGTAGGCCACTGCAGGCCAATTAGACCACCAGCGCCTGCTCCCCCAAGCCTAGTGAGCCTGGCACCCCGCTCTACCTGCACAGGACCCTGCTCATCCAGGAGCCGGGCAGGGACAAGAGGCCCATCCAGCCAAAGCATGTCACAATGGCCCAACACCCAGGCCACTGGGGACCCTGGAAGACCGAGCAATGGCATGTTCCAGGCCACATGGGGGAGCCAGGCTCCCTAAGCAGCTGCTTCTGGGGTGATCTCTGAAGGTGATGTGACTATCAATTCTGATTCTAGAACCTCCAATGGCCTTCTTCTGGTGCTGGTACCACATGAGCCCCTGAGGAACTTACACCAGCGGAGCAGGGAGCAAAGGAGGTGATGACATGGGCCTTGAGCCTTTGGAAAAGGGGACAGAAGGAAAGAAGCCCATTCCCTACTACTCTTGCTGCTCTCAGCCTCACCGCAGCCAGTGCACCCAGCCTGTCCTCTGCGCCTCAGCCTGGGACAAGCTGCTTTACCTGGACAGGTGGCCCAAGTCTGGTGTGGGCTCCCCACCTCCCAGCAGGGCCTGGGACAGAGGCCCTACTGCTAGTTCACCTGGCACCTGGCCTGGGGCCTGCTGGGCCCACGGTAAGGACCAAGGATGAAGGGAGATGGGCGGTCCCACCTAGGACCAGATCTGACCACCTGGCCCTGAGCAGGAAGTGGACAGGGAAAAGAACTTCCCTCAGTGAGCAGCCTCCTACCTTCCGGAGGCCAAGCCAGCTTCAGGGTGGGAAGAGGCCTGGGGCACAGGCTCCCCCTGAAGAGAGATGCCTTGCAGATCTGGTCCTGGCCTGGGTCATGCTTTGGGGTCTAGGAAGGAGAGCAGCTTAGAGCCAGGGAAAGGAAACAGGCTTCCCTGGGAAGGCAGAGCAGGCCCATCCCCAGGCCTGGGCAGGTGTTACCTGGCAGATAGATGTCGGCAGGTGGACCTGGCTGTCCGTGGCTGCAGTGCTCAGGGCTGCTGTCCTGTAGGACGTTCTCGATGGATGGCGCTCGGCTCCCTGAAGCAGGCAAAGGGCAAGGTCAGGGGCCGACAGGCGGGGGCCCTGGAGCATGCCTCTCTTCTCCAGGGGCTCTGCAGCTGCTGGAGCCCTCGGCCTAGGCTCAAGCCCAACTCCACCCAATGTCTCAGCTGTTCTCCAGAGACCACAAAAGTGGACGCTTTCTTTGCTTCTTTTCTTACCCTCTTTTCCACCCTCCAGTGTGGGGCTTTTTTGCTTTTACTATAAGAAAATTACAAATCCACGCTTCAAAGGTGCCAAGTGTTGCCTGTCCCCTGCTTCTCCCTGCAGACACGCAGGGGGTACGTGGCCCTCTGAGCCTGCTGCCCTGCCCTCAAGGGTGGACTCTCACATATACAGCTGGTTTACCCCCTCTCCTGCATTCAGGCCTTAGCTGGGGACCTGTACTTCTCAGTACTGCCGAGGGGGTCCTAGTAGGTGAGGGTCCCTCTGGCAGGGGGGCTGGCCCTAATGCTGCCAGGAACCCTACAACCTGAGCGAGCCAGGGGGTCTCTGCCCCTGCATGTGCTTCTGTGCAGGCAGAAAGGAGTGCAGGTGCCTCAGGAAAGCTTAGCCTGTCCAGATGTAGGGAAACTGAGGCCCCGAGGCAAAGGGGCTTGCTCAGTGCCACGTAGCCGAGCACAACCCAGGCGAAGACCCCAGCTTCTAATTCTCTACTCAGGAACCATCAGCCCTCAGAGCAGAAATGCAGAGAGACGCAACCTGGACAGCACACTGCTTCCACCCAACCGAGGCCCCTACCTTGGGCACCCCACTCACACCCAAGCCTTGGTTTCCTCGTGTGTCCGATGGTGACACTGGCGAGGAATGGCTACAGCCACCGTGAGGCTGGGAGGGCCCTCTTCCCACTTGCAGCCAGGGTCACAACCCCTATAAAAGTCTCCAGGCGCCTGAGGTAGGAGGGGGCTTACCTTGCTTCAGTGACGGCAACTTGTCAACCTCTTCCGTGATGAAACTCTAGGAAAACAAAGAGCAAGGTCCACCTGGAGCTCGGGTGCAGGGCTGCTGATGACCAGGGGCTGGAGGGGGCCAAGCTCCCGCGACCAGGCGGGAGGAGGATGTGAAGGGCGGCATCTGATACTCCGTGTCACCATCGCCGGGCACCAGGCCTCACCTGCAGCCCCTCTTACAACCCTCATAGTGACTCCACCAAACAGTACCCCAGATGGTACCCATCCCACAGATGAGGAAACAGGCTGGGGAGTCACACAGCTTGGCCGAGGCCCAGAAGTGCAAGAGTGTCCTGGCATGCAGTGGGACTGGGTCCGATTCCAGTGCACATGGACTGGAGAAGACTGGCAAGAGCATGTGGCTCAGCTTCATGTGGGAGAGCCTAACCTCTGGGGAGCTGCTTTCCCGCAGTGCCAGCTCCACGCCGCTCAGTGGGGGAGGAGCATCTGAGTCCTCAGAGAGCTTCTCCTCATCCTCTTCATGGATGGGGGACGATGGGGACCGCAGGGTGCTGGGGACAGAGGAGGGGGAGGCCAGGTAGGCTGGAGGATGACTGGACAAGGAAAGCCAGCCCCGCCCAGACAGACTGCCCAGATGCCACCTGGGGGTAGCCTTGTAAACATCTGCCAGATTCCATGGAAAAGATGCTCCCAGGGAACTGTGTTTATCAGCAAAGGACTGAAACTAACCCAAATGCCCAACAGCCATCAATGTCAATACAGATGCACACTGACAGAGAGAACCCATCTACAGGTACATGGGAGCAGACCTGAACATCTTTTTATTTCTAGAAAGAGAAACACTGATGGCAGACCCCAGGGTGGGAAATAGCAGGAGACAGACCCATATTTCTTTCTGCATCTTTGGAGTTGTTTCCCTATGTAGACACACTGCAGGGGTCCTGGGATTGGTACTGCGCCTCCCTTATACTTTTCTGTTAAAAAACTAACATGCATGTGGTCATGCAGGGCTGGTTGGCCACTCCTTGCAAGTCTCCAAGGGAACCATGACTGATCCTTGGCCAGCTCCAGGAACGTGGCCCTGGAAGGTTCTTGGTGTTAGTGATGGAAGATGCTGTAATCCTCTGGAAATGGACCACGCCCACCAGCTGGTCAGGTGTAAACAGCAATATCAAGGACGTGCACCAGTTTCACTGTTGGGGTGCCGAGTTTCGGCTGTCATCATGGTGGCTTGGCAGGATACACCTATGTGGCCATTCCCCATAAAGTCCAGAACCCTGAGCTCAAACGGGCTCCCCAGGGAACCTGCCCTGGTGGCAGAGTGCCCCCACGTGGCCTGAGACAGGGAGGATGTCAGAAGCCTCTGGCCTCCACCAATGCATCTTTCTGGCTATTTTTGCTCTGTATTCTTTGCTGTAACAAACTTTATCCATGAATTTAACCTGCTACTATGTCTTGTGAGTCTTTCTGGTGAATCACCAAACAAAACATGAGAAAACTATTTGAAACTAGGAGTAAATCTGCCTTGCACTTCTTACACGCTACCCCACACATACATGTACACACACACACACACACACACACACACACACACACACACACACACACGAGGCACCAAGCCCACAAAGGACAGGTGTGGTAGACTCCCACTCACCCTTCCCGAGAGGAGCACCAGGTTCAGGCTCACCTGTCAGGAGACTTGCTCCGCGGCTTGCCCTTCTGGTGGCTGCTTTCCATGATTCGGTCGATCCCAGCCAGCGGACAACTGGCCTGGGACAGACCATCCGAGATGCCCGAGTAGGTGATTTCTTCATAAAGGGGGGCCGAGGGGATGGCTGGGGAGACAGCCCGCAGGCCGTTGAGTGCCTCAAGCAGGGAGATGGGCTCGTAGCCGGGTGGGACACTGTCAGAGCTCTGCAGGGACAAGGGCAGTGAGGAAGGCCTGGTCCAGCTCCCTGCCTGTGGCCCCTGCCCAGGGCCACAAAGCCCCAGTCGCTGAGCTCAAGTCCCAAGGACGTTCCACTCCCCAGACCCTCTTTCTGACAACTGCTGTCCACTCTACCTTCCAAGGACTCAGATCCCCCTGTTGGAGGGTGGCAAGAGCTCCTTCGCAGCATTGGAGACATCCCTGCCCAGGGCTCCCCTGCCATCAACTCCAGCACATGCCCCGGAGACCCAAATGCCCCTGTTTGTGCCCAGGATGCTGGGTGAGAAGGCGTCTGGCAAGAGCCACCCACCCCCACCTCGGCCAGCCCCTACGTGGCTTCTGTTCCTGCCTTGCTGGGGTGCAGAGAGGGGGTTAGTGACAGAAAGGAGAACTCAGGAGCAGGGAAGTGCAAAGCCATGCCAGAGGAAAGAGAACCTTTGGAAATGTGGTATTCTAGGCCAGGGAATCCTGGCCTCCTGGGAGCTCTGCCTGACCCCAGCCTCTGCCGGGTTGATGTGCTCCAGGCCATTCTAATGGACACCCTGGAGAGGAGCCACTGCCTTCCCCTCATGGGAGTGAACTGCACTGACAAGGCTGAGACACAGAAAAGGCGTAGGTGCAGGGGCACTGCGAAGGGTGCATGGCTGCCCCGCCCCCGCCCTTGCTCTCATGAAACCACCAAGGGGCAAAATGCTCACTGCCAGAGATTCGGCCCAACCAAGCCCCTGGAAGAAGGAGGAGATGGAGTCGGAGCATCCCTGGGGACCACAGGGTTGGGGGCGCCAGGCCCACAGGGCTGTTCTGGACCTGTCTACTCCACCTTTGCTCCCATACCTGCTTTCAATTTAAAGGTGGCTACCTCCTCTGAACCTCTTGCCCCTCTAAAAAGGACTCTCCGGACTGACTCCCTGGCAACTTCCACCTCCCTAAGCCACACTAGGGTGCACAGGGCTCAACTGGGTCTGCCCAGGGCAGTGGAGGCTCCGGGTGGAGGCCCAGCCCAGTGGGAATGCACTCTCTGGTCCCCCCACCTGTTCCCTGGGGTACAGGAAAGATGCAAGAAAATCAAAGTCATCAGCCCCAAAGAGCTGCAATCTGGAATCAAGGACAGAGGGGCAGGCAAGACCGGCAAGCAAGTGCAAGGGAGGCCGTGTGCACAAAACAGCTGCGGCGTTAGCTCCACCTTCACGTCCATTCCACTGCCAGCAAGAAAAAAAAGGGAAACAAGGCCACTTGGGGACCACGGCAGAGGCAAAGATGGCGCAGAGGCCGCAGGCGTCGCCCACCAGGCAGTGGGACAGGCGTGGCTGGCTTTTTGCCAACAGACCTGAGCTTTGATTGTTCCACCAAACTCCCTTCCTGAGCAGGGACGCCGGGACTGGGGAAAGTGGATTTGACAGATCACATTAATCGAACATTAGCCTGGGGTGAAAATGACTGCTCATCCTTGTCTTTGGCTTAAAGATTAGGGCATGGGGCAAAAAAAGTAGCCATAGGACCAAACACACTTACTGTTTCCCTTTTAGGTTTCTTGCTGGCCAGGGAGGCGGGGTGCGACTTTGATTTTTTAAAGGGACACTGTCAAGATAAAAATCATACGTTTTACAACTGCCACCCTCCCCATGCAGCGCTAGAGGTCATGGACAGGGTCTCTCTAGGGATGCTGTGACCCGATGCTTCAAAAGCTAATGTGCACGGGGCTCTCAGGGACTGTGCAGCTTCTGACTCAGAGGTCTAGGGGTGTCCACACATCTAAGCAGTTCCCAAGAGCTTTGCTCTGGTGCCACTAGGAGTGATGTCCCCATCCCCAGTGCCTGCCCACCCATGGTCTGGGTTACCCCAGAGTAGCAGGTGTTGGCCAAGGCTGACCACTCTGGGTGCAGCCTGGGACCCTGAGGGCACCCAGTCGAAGGCTCTCCAGAAGCGCTGGGCACCTTTATCAGGCTGGGCCCTGCCTCGGAAAGTTCTCACCAACATCTAATTCCTAAAGACAAATGGGGAGAAACACCAACCCCACGATTATCTTAATGCAATCACTGGAGAAAATGGCTGATTTGGGCTCTTTCTGGCACTCCATGGAAACAGCTTGGACCTGTGAGGGGAAGGCAGCTCCCTGAGAAGGCGCCAGCCCTTCTGGGGCATGTGGAGGCTGGACACACGCCAGGCCCCAGCTGCCCTACACTGTGGGAGGCGGCTCAGCTTGCTTGGGATAGGAGGGTCAAACGTAGAGGGACCTGCCTGACCCACAGCCACCAGGACAGAAACTGGGAGGGGCAGAAACAAGTGACAGTAAACCCCGCCACCACCTGAGCACCCCTCAGTCAATCCCTGTGAAAATGGACTCTCCTTTCAGGGAAAATCACACCTGGTCCTCTTTCTGCCAAAAGATGGAAAGTGTACAGCAGTGTATCCAAATCAACATTGATGCCAACATGCCACAAGAGCCCTTGGGCTGGCGGGGGCCCAGTAGGCAAAAGAGACAGCGTGGCTGGCCTGGGTGGAGCCAGTCAGGAGGCTCGGGTGACAGGACCCCCCAGGGGCGGCCATACCTCTGCTGCAGCTGTGAGACCACAACTTCAGATTTCAAAACAGAAGCAAGAATTTGGGTTTTAAGGGAAATTTCCAGACTTTTAATCATTGGCCCAGTTTTTGGAAACTGTGTGGGTTGAACACATCCCACCCGATCGAGGAAGGAGGCCTCGTCTTGTGGATGGGCAAACCACAGGGTTCATTCCTCCTTTCTTTTAAAGGAAGTAGCAGGGCCTTTAAGAACCACTGGATCCAACTATCTCGGCTGAGAGCCAGAAAGGCACAAGCCTCTCATGATGCTGGCGGCCAGCAGGACCAGGAAGCCCAGGCTGGGCCCTACACTACTGATGGCCATCCATACAGCCACTTGCCCCTGCCTGCCTGCCCCTGCCACTCCTCCACCCCATCCCCATCTCTGTATGTGTCTCTTTACCTCCCTGTCGCTGTCTCTCTCTTTAGGTCCTGGAAGCCAGAGTTGGCCTCTGTTGCTGCCTGCAGCAACGTCTACCTTGAAGATCTGCTGTGGGGCGAGCCCAGAGGGCTTCGGGGCACTCACGCCGGGGAAGGCGGGCAGGGCCACTCAGGAGCACTGCTACAGCCACCCTCGGGAGGGAACCAGATCCTTCACTAAGAACCATGGAGCGCCTGTTGGTCTGGCTTGGTGGAGAGATGGTGACAAACGCCCTGGCACGAACTTGACCACGTGGCAGGCTCTCCCTGCCAGCAGGAGCAGCAATGACCCCACGACTAATGTTTATAGCCCAGCCTGGTCAAGCCACCTGTGGGGACCACCGCACAGTTACAGTCATGTGGCTCTGCCACACGGGCTCCAGGCCCCCCTGAACCCCTCAGGCAGGAGGAGGCAGCACTTACAGAGTGCTCATCGTGGTCCACGCTCTGGGCCAGGACAGGGCTGAAGCAGATGGGGGACAGGGCTCCTGGCTTCTTGCGCACGGCCCGGATCTGCAGGAGGGCCCGGAAAGCTGCGGCAGAAGCAGGGGCTCACGTTAGGCCAGGGCCGCTCCCAGCACCACTGGCAGGGACGCCGACCCCCCGCCACACCAGCCCACCCTGCAGCAGCCCCGGACAGGCCACCTTTCTAGATCAGAGGCACAAGGGAGTTGTAACAAAATGCCCTGCACAGGGGGACAAAACAAGGCCACGGTGGCACTGCCTCAGGGAATGTATCCAAGGTGCACCCACACTTCACACCTGTCAGCCCCCAGACCGTGAGACGTGGGTGTGACTGACACCACCCCACCGGGCTCCAGCAGCCTCTTCCCAGGGAACCCTGCTGAGGGTGGGACGCAGGCCAAAGGTTCACATGGGGGAATGTCCCCGACAGTGCGACGTCTCACTGGCATGAGTAGGATTTGGTGCATCAGTCTACACCAGTGCCAGCCCGCGCCCAGAGGGGCCAGCAGGCCCCGTGCAACGTGCATAAGAAGCTGTGAGATGGGGAATGCAGGCCATGCCTCAGGGTGAACAGGACACACACAGAAGGCAACCGCGTCCCCGTGCCGATGGGCAGCCCAGGCTGCAGGGCGGGACATTAGCCTGCTGGCTTGGCACTTTTCAGTAGTCCCCATGTTTTCCACCAGGAGTGAGCAGGCTCTGACACCAGCCACCCATGAGGGGAGCCCCAACCCGTCTTACAGAGGAGGCCGACTTGGGGGCAGCCCAGGCCACATGGGGGGCTCTGAACTCCACTCTGTAGACCCCACCCCACAGCTCACCCCATACCTAAAGATTATCAGAGGTCACCAGCAGTCACGGCACCTGCAGTGAGTCATGGTCCCCGCTTGGGGTCAGTGCCAGGCCCTCCCTGAATGGCAACCTGCCTGTGCCCAGACCCCCAGCAGCCCAGCCTGACCTCCCAGGGTCCTCCTTCCCATCCTTCCACCTCTGCCCTCCTCAGAAACACAGTCCTGACCACCCCCACGGCTCCCCTTTCCTCTGCCTCAACTTCTTACTGTCTGCGCCCCACACTGGGCCCAGACCCCACACAGGCAGGAGACCCCCCAATCTCTGTGCTACTCAGAGTCAGCACACAGCAGTTGGTCTCCTGAACCCAGGCAAGCCCCAGAACTCCACAACTGTCTAAACCCCACGGTTCCACAGCTGTCAATTGGCAGACAGTCAAGGTTGCCGGCTGGTGCCAGGGTGCACAGAGCACCACCATCTAGGCCCTGCCCCTGTTCTGGCCTGTCTGGACCCCCTGGGCTTCCGGACCATGCTCTGCCCCCCAGAGAGACCAGAAGGCCAGCACAGGACCCACCAGCCCCCGAGAGCACCTCCCACAGGCTGAGCTCTGCAGGGAGGCCTCAGGCAGCTAATGTTCCTGCAGCACTGGGTTCTCAGAGCACTCGAGGAAGGGGGAGACAGGGGATCCTGATGGCAGAGGGGGCACCCAGGCCTACCTACCAGGGGCTGCTCACGGAAGCTGCTGCCACCTCCACCTCGGTGCACTGCAGGTGCCAAGGCTCAGCCCCCAATGCCACCCACTTCCTGGGCACAGAGAAAGACCTTCCCATGGTCCACACCTGCCTGGACTTCCTGGTCCTCCACCCCCTGGTGCCACAGCCTCTTTCTCAGACAGGAGAGGCTAAAGGACCCGTGAGCCAGCCCTCCATGCTACCTGATCTCGAGTAGACTGGGCAGGGCCCTGTCGCCTGTCCCCATAGGCCCCAGAGCAGAGCTCACCTGTAGCGCCCTGACCTATCTCGACTGGGGCTTCCTTCTGGGCTCTGAGCCCCAGACCACACAGCCTCGTGCTCTGCTACTGCCCACCCAGCCTGCCCTGCAGCTCCAGAGCCGCCATTGCGTGCGCTCGCACACCAGCACCCTCTCCACTGCCTACCTGGCTCCCATGGGGACAACCTCTGTGAGGTGCTGGTGCAGCTGCTTCCAGGTAGCAAGGGCAAGAGCACAGGCCAAAACGCCAGTACCAAACCCGCCTCTGCCTTTTGCTGGCCATGACCCTGGGCAAGATCCCTCAGAGCCCCAAAACAGTGACTGGCAAGCCTGACAGCCAGGGTCACAGTTCCTGGCTCAGGAGCTTGGAGATCTCAAAACACAAACGTCCTGCAGCTCCCCAGGCAGGCATCCTCTCTGACCACACCTCAGCCCCTCGCCCACTGCCAGGTCCCAGGACCCCCAGCCTGATGCTCACTGTGACCCAGTGGGTTTTTTACGCTGAGAATGTTCAGGTTCCCTCTATCAGAAGACAAATATTTTTTTCAGAATTATGCCACATGCGACGATTTTTCCTGAGAAAATGTCTGGAGTGCTCCAGAAAACCCAATTTAATTCCTTGGTCAATTTTCTACATCACTTTTCCATCTCACCTCACTAAGATTTTTGTCGAAATGTTTTCTCCATAGCCTCTAAAATAAAGGTTTCATTCACTGATCAATTTTTGTCCAGTTCAAATATCACTGCAAACGTCTGCCCTGAAGGCCCTTCATCCTCAAAGTCTAACCTTCCTGGAGGCAGGTTGTGAAGATCTGAATCGCACCCCATACTAGTGGGGCTGCTGCCTGCACAAATGCTAACTGTGCAGCCAATGTGTCCTGGTTCATTGTGGACCAGACAAATGAGTGACAGCCCTCATGTTCCTCAGCCAGCAAGGGCTCTGTGGCCTCCCAGGGCTGCCCCGGCCCAGGACTGCTGCGGTGCAGCCAGTCCCCGACCTCCAGACCCTCCCGGGCACTTACGCAGGCGGCAGATGGGGCAGTTGTTGGCCTGGTAGCGCAGCGTGTCGGCACAGGAGGTGCAGAGGCATAGGTGGCGGCAGGGCAGGATCAGCGTGTCTCGCAGGTCGGACAGGCACACCACACACTCGTTGCTGTTGTCGCCGTTCTCATCATCCGAGGGCTGCGGGGACAGGGGCCTGTGGGTCAGTGGCCTCCCAGGGACCTAAGGCCAGGGCCTCATATTGCTCAGCCCAAAGCAGGCCTACCTGTCCTAGCAGTGCCACCATCATCCTCCATGCCCCAGGGGCTTCTGTGGCAAAGGGAAGCTCAGAGGGCAGGAGGAAGTTGCCATGGAACAGAACTCCTCAGGAGAGGCAGCCTGGAGCCGTGCGACACAGCAGAGGGAAAAATCTGTGCCCCCCACCAACCCAAATCACAAGGACTTGGGTCTTTTCTGTTCCTCAGACCCAAAGAGGAAATGTGGAGACGTGCCACTACAGAACTGCCTTCATGATGGTCAGGTACCCATCTACATGGTTAAAAACAAACATGTCTAATTCGTTGGAAATATTTTAAGTAATGGCAGATTCCAGAAACCAAATTAGCAACTGGATCAAGATAAAGCAAATTTTTTTTTTTTTCCTTTTTGTCTTTTTTCGTGACCGGTAACGGGATCGCAACCCTCGGTGTCGCGCCCCCACCACGCTCAACCAATGAGCGGACCGGTCTCTATATGGGATCCGAACCCTTGGCGGGAGCGCCGCCACACTCCCAAGCACCGCACTCTATCGAGTGCGCCACCGGGCCGGCCCTTTTTTTTTTTTTTTTTTTAAAGATGACCGGTAAGGGGATGTTAACCCTTGACTTGGTGTTATCAGCACCACGCTCTCCCAAGTGAGCCATGGGCCGGCCCCCAATAAAGCAAAATTCTAAAACAGGGAGCAGCTAACTATGCCTGCTGCCTGTTTCTACAAATAAAGTTTAATTGGAACAGTCACGTCCACTGGATTTTGTGTTGGTTACAGCCACATTGAGTAGATGCCATAGAGACTGTATGTCCTGCAGAGCCAAATATAGCTACCACCTGGCCCTTCACAGAAAGCCAGTGACCCCTGGTGTAAAACATGTGCATGAGCACAGCCACTAAGCTGAGGCCAGGCCTGGCCATGCTGCCCTGTCCTCTCGCCTCCCACTGGTTCCAGCTGTTCTGGGCCCTGCGCCACATGGAGGCTGGTGTGTGCGACTTTCAGAGAGATTTTAAGACACGGGCAGCAGTTCTGTCCATGCCAGTGTGCCTTCAGAAACAATGAAAAAGGCTGCTACCCTCCCCAAGCCCTGCTAGGCCGCCACTTTTCGGCTGCTTCTAGAGACTTCTAGAAGGCAGGTCGCTATTCCACATAGCTGCAGGGGCTCACTGTCCCCGGGGAGGCAGGAGCCCACCAGCAGGGGGCAGCACTGGCCTAGCCAGTGACAGGAAGGAATCGCAAAGGCAGCGGCACCTGGAGGGGGCAGGATGGAGTCCTGTGTTCCCAGGCTGCCCTGGCAGACTTGGAAGCCAGTGAATTTACTGGAAAAAGGGACAAAGTGTTCCATAGACTCTGTTAACTTAAAAAAAATATTAAGGAAAAATGATGGCATCTGGGGGCCTGAAACCTCCAGAGGAAGGCATAGAGGGGCCTGGCTTGGCTACTCAACCCTCAGGGCCCTGGCCAGGCCTGTGAGACCCCGAGCAAATCATGCCCAGCGAGTCCAGTGGGCCTGCACATGGCAGAAGGAAACCAGGGGCATGTGACTGGCCTGGAGTTCACAGGTGACCACTGCAAGGATGTACCTTGGTCTCCTGGTTGTTCTTGTTCTCGATGCCGTAAATCTCCTGCAGCAGGTAACTGACCCGGTCCACCTGGAGAGCAGAGAGGGGTGCGCTGGGCCCTGGCCAGCCCCAACACAAGGGCTCCTCTGCACCCACGTGGCCCAACACCACCTCCACCATACCAGGCTCGGGTCCCAGGTGCAGGCATGGCTGGGAATTCTGTCAGCTCATCCGCCCCACCCCCTAGGGCCAAGAGACGGCAAGGGAGAACTTCCACCTGCCCAGCCTAACCAGCAGCACCAGGAGCAGGGCCCAGTGATTTTGCCCACCATGGGGGTCCTCAGCCACACTAAAGGTAGGCCCAGCAACCACACCTCTGCCCATCTCACCCTCTCCAACTCCATAAAAAAACCACTGTGGAGCCACCCGTCACCACCCCCACAGGAGCAACTAGAGTCAGTGCCTGAAGGCACCATATGGCAGCCTTTCTAGAACCTCACTCCCCAGGCATGAAAACGTTTCTGGTCTCAGACACCGAACAAATTCCTACAAGCTGTATTCTGTCCTGCTGCTCATGCCCAACCCAAAGGCCTCACCCTGACCATGTTCCAAAGAGGTCTGAGCTGCTGGGTTCCCCAGTTCCACACACCACGAGCACCTCTTCAGGGAGCCAGGGTCCTGCCAGTCGGCTCTCAAGAGCCCTGACTAGCATTGGGGGGGGGGGGGGGGGGGCTCTTGCACCTTCTCCAGCACCTTCAAGGTCTGGATCTGCCAGAGTTCACTCTACCTCTCTTAAAAAGCTAAGAAACACCATTCCCAGGTTGTGGCTTGAAACAGGTCTTACACACAAGAGCAGCTACACATACGGGAACTGCTGACCATGGCTTTGAAATACAGACCCCAGCCGTGACCCACTGTTAAAATCAGCCTCCATATCAAGGTCTAACAGAGCTCAGTTTGGGGGATGCCATCTTCTAAATTCTCACAGTGCTTACATGTGAGTCCACCAGGAATAACTCTTCCTGGCATAGGACCTTGGGATTACTGACCCCAAAGAAAACTTGCACTAGTCTGCAGCTCCCATCTGCTCCTTCCTTTCAAGTATTGATTAAGTCAAACTTTGACCAATACTGAAGCATTTTTCCTGTCTCCTTCTTTCCTCCATCCATTCATCCAGCAAATAGTTACTGAATGCTGACCAAGCTCCTGGCACCACGGCTCAAGCTGGACAGGACTCAAGGCCTACAGAGTCGCTGCTGGTACCACCAGGTGGGCATACCACACGCATGCACTCACCCAGGGACATGCAGCCCAGCAGGCACCCAGCCAGTAGGCTCTTCGCAGCTACTGCAACGTAGTTCATGGAGACTACATGTGTGTGCGTGCACGTGTCTTTTAAATCAAAAGGGGACATGCTATTTCGTCTGACAGACTTACGATTTGCTTCTGCTTTAAGGGCTTCACAGAGAAGCTGCCGTCCACATGCTGCAGGGGAGAGAGACACAGGGTTAATGGGTTAAGCTGGCACCCCTGAGCATCCCTGCTCAGCCTCTGAGGCCCTCTCTGGCCAGTCCACAACCATGGCTGAAAAAAAGAGGGACCAAGTGAAGACTAGAGCTAGGCCAGGATTTCTCAAAATGTGGCCCTCAGACCTGGCTTCAAAACTACCTGGAGAAACCTCTAAAAATACGGCCTCCTGGGCCCCGCCCTGACCTACAGACCCAACTCTCCCTGGGTGATTCTCAGGCACACTCAAGTTCAAGACCACTCAGCCAAGTTCTGATGACGAACGAGAGGCTCCCCAACATCAAGCGGTAGCACCTGGAGAGAGAACATTAAGACAAGTTCTTGCTCTCCGAGGACGTAGCTTAGTTAGAAGATGGCACAAAGCAGGCACACACATACATATGCAGGAAAGCTCAGAGCTCTAAAAATGTCAAGACAAAATAGAACAGCCACACTCGGCACTATCCAGGGAAATACACAGCTTAGAGTTCGACAAGGTTAATTAAGGTGTTAGATATGAGATCTTGAGACAATGCTAATTATCCCTTCTAAGTCAACCAAGACCTGCACTCAGAGTTTTCAGTTAAGGCTGATGGGTTCTAACAGAAATTTCTAGAATGTTGGATTCCAAAAATAAGACAGTTTCTCACTGGGCTCTAAGCACAGAAGGGACTGTTTGCCAGAGATGGCCCATCTGCCTTGGCAAGAGCGCACAGATGTGTACATAGTAACCATCTCTTCCAACAAGGCTGGTCCTGGGGAGTGCAGCTGGCAAGCCCAGAGCTGAGGCGGGAGAAGGCTGACCTCGCCTGGCACTTGTGTCAGCACAGTCTGCCCCTGGCCCAGGAGAACACAGACCCAACCTCACCGCAGGAGAAACAGACCAGAGGGGCCCTTAGACCCAGCTGTACGGCCTCAAGATCACAGGCAGGAGCCAGGCTTTGCACCTACAGCTCTCAGGGACTGCAGACACACACCAGGGGCGAGGGGGCCCAGTGTCAGCAGGACACAGGAGTGGTGGCAAGTCTGAGCCTGCTTCCTCCTGGGGCCCGTGTCTCTTGTCGCTCCTGGGCCACAGGCAGGTGCTGAAAACGCTTTACAACTGCAGAGTGCTGGCGGATATCAGAAAGCACTGGGAGGGTGGGTGGTCAGCTATGGCTGACCCAGTAGGGGACACACCCACCACCTCTAGCAAGGCTCTTAGGGAGCAGGGACCCACGCAGGGTGGGGTCAGGGGGCACCCATGCTAGGCAGGCAGCAGACCCTCACCGGTCCACCAGTACCCACTGAGCATCTGCTGCATGCCAGGTGTCATGCTCAGCTCTGAGGACACAGCAACAGACTAGCAGGGTCAGTTCTACCCTCACAGACATCGAACAAGGAAGCACAACAAATGTTTGCCCTGAGCAGTCAGGAAAGGCCTCCTGCAGGGAGCAAGGCCTCCAACCCCTGCGGGGCTGGGTGCCACAGCTGAGGGAAGAAGGGGCAGAGCATGTGCAAGGTGGGGAGTGGCGGGCACCGGATGGGGCTGTGAAGGTCCCAGGTGACAGCGAGGATGTTGGGCTAGGGGGAAAGGGCCATGGTTCTTCCAAGACAGGAGCAGCTGGATGACTCTCCACATCTCAGGGAAAGTTAGTGTGTGGCAGATAGCCCTCCGTGTAGGTGCCCCAGCCCCTGTGTCCGCAGGTTCTAGAGAGTTCCACAGGGCTGGCCCTAGTCTAGAACATCCTCCCTCGCCACACTCCAAACACCTTTTGAAAGCTTCCCAGTGAAGATGCTCGGCCTCAGGGCCAGCCTCCCAGGAAGCGCGGGGCTGCTGGGGACCTTCCACCCACCCAGGGGCTGACACCCAGTGCCTTCAAAAGGCCCTGGCCCCACGCTCAGACCCCAGCTCCCAGGTCACAGAGACTGAGGACCAGGTCAGCACTTACCTTTTCAAAGGCAGCCAAGAGCACGTGGGCGTGGCCAGTCACTTCCACCACTACCCAGGACAGAGACAGGAGAGAGCAGTCAGAGCCAAAGCAATACACCCACCCAGGCCTCTCCCACCCCTTCCTTCGGCCAGTGTCTCCCCTGGCAGCACCCAAGCCACCCCCATGCCTGCAGATGCCCCACATGGCAATCCCGTGGCCCTGAGCCTGGGTGTGGGCTGTGCTGACATCTGGCATCGCTTCTGGAAGACTCCTCACGCTGATCAATGGGAGAAGGGCCTCGGGAAGCAGCTTCCTCCCCACAGGGCCCGCACACTCATGAGGGAGGACGGGGCGGGAGAGGGCTGGACCACTCACCATCACCTTCATCCACCACGGCCTGGATGACCACTGGGAACACGCCCCTGTCCAGGTCAAAGTTCAGCTGAGGAGGAAAAGAGGAAAGAATGGTCAGGACCGAGGCAGCCAAGCCGGCGGGTCCAAGAAACAGCCATGGGGAGAAGGCCCGGCGGGCAGATGGCGTCACAGCAGAGCCAGAGGACAGAGGAACAAATGGCAAAGGGGGTATAGATGCCTGGGTTGGCACCTTTTTGAAATGGTAAACTGTATGGAGCATAAACATTGCCATTTTAACCATATTTAAGTGGCATTAAGTACATTCACAATGTCATGCAACCATCACCATATCCACTTCCACAACTTCTTCACCACCCCAAACAGAAACGCTGTGCCCATTAAACATTAACTGCCCAGCCCCAGCCCCCAGAAACCCCCAGTCCACTTTCTGTCTCCATGGATTTGCTTGCTCTGGACACTTCCTGTAAGCGGAATCACACACTATTTGTCTTTTTGCATCTGGCTTCTCTTGCTCAGCACAACATTCCGAAGTCCACCATGCTGTGGCGTGTGTCAGTGCTCCCCTCCATCTCATGGCTGAATGCTACGCCACGGTGTGCACAGACCGCTCTGTTTTTCCAGGCTCCCATTCATGGATGTGAGCTGTTTCTACATCTTGAGACTTATGCTGCTGCAAACACTGAAGTACACTTATTTCAGCCCATTTTCAATTCTCCTGGGTATATACCTCGAGTGGAAGTGCTGGGTCACAGAAAGGCACCTGGCTCGGCCCCCACCAAAGAAAGAAGGAAGGGATGGGAAGCCCTCATGGCTCGCCTGAGTTCAGGAGAAACCCCCTTGTGCCTGTCATTGCCCCACCGCCCTCAGGCTAGAGGCTGCTCTCCTCCCCGTGGCCTGCAAAGCCCTGACTGGACGGTTCAGTTTCTGCCTCTGGCTCCAACCTCCTTCAAGGCAGCACCCTCGGCCAGACCAGCCCTCTCCCGTTCCTCATGGGACACCAGCTCCCTCCAGCCCTCCCCTGCGGACAGTTTCCATGCTGGCTCTCAGGAAAGGCAGGGCTGTGACTCAGAGTCCAGCTCCTTGCCTCTTCACTATGAACAAGCCCCAACCTGAGCCTCAGCTTCCCCATCTGCTGAGCGCGGGCCTGGGAGGGCACATAGTCAACCCCAGCAGTTCACCGACCCATGGAAGCGATGGGAACCAAGGAAAGCTACGGGGCAGGGAAGGAAGTTGCCCAGCCTCCTCTGGGAAGGTAGCTGCAGGGCACAGAGGAGGAAAGGGGAGGGTAGTGGTCAAGGGGGAGGTCACAGCTGATGCTGGCTGTGTGGAAACATCTATGCACACCAGAAGCCGCATGCTGGGGAGGTGGAGGATGTGTCCACACCCACCCAGGGCCAAGCCATCTCAAGGATGCCACCAAACCCAGACTTGGGAGAGGGAGGGCCCCTGCTTTCCCTGGCTCCTGCCTTGCTCTGGGGGGGGGTGATCACACAAGACGTGGGCCCCCTCTGTGAGCCTGTTTCCCACTTCCCCCTGAGCCAGTACGCAGGAGCCACCATGCCAGAGTTGCCCTGGTGACACTGGGGTAACGCTCAATGCTGCCCTCACAAGGGCTGGAATTAAGCCCAGGAAGGGGGAGTTCATGCACTAGCAGCTGTTTGTGTAGGTGACAGAGCCGATGGGGAGAGTAGGGCTTTGTGGAGCATGTCCCTACACCTGTCCCCACACCCCAAGCCACGGGGCTGGAACGTGATCGGAGGACCTAGCACCTTGGCACTGACATGGGCCACTTCATGCTCTGGGGGGCCTCCGAGCGATCTGCACTTTCCCTCCATTGCACTCTATAAACGGAATGCTGGCAGCTGTGCTTTGCTGGAGTTAAGATAAAAACCAATGGTTTGGGGAGGTGCCCAGGCCAGCGGGTGGTGAATGCGGCCTTTCTCTCCCCCCTCTGCTGGCAGACAGGGGCTTACAATGGGTGGCCCCACGTGAGCACTCTGCATACTAATCATGAACCCCTCATGGCCATCGTGGGAGGGAGGGACTGTTCCTAGCTCCAGTTTACAGATGGGGAAACCAAGGCTGGGAGAGGCTGCGGAACTTGCCTGGCTTCACATAAAGGGATAGAGCTTCTTCCACCCCTGTCCACCTACTCCTGGGAAAGGCCACCGCTGCTGCCCCAGACACCACTTGTCCTTCTATCCTTGAAACTCTGTTCTTATCAACTCTGACATACCTGGGCCTCCTTCCCCACCTGTCCAAACCCCACCAAAAGGTGCAGACACTGTTGTCTTTACCAGTTCAGCACCCGAGCACACTCTTCAGGTGGCAGCACCCAATTTTCCTTGGGGAACCACCTCTTCCTACTCTGGTTCTGTGCAATCTGGCCAGAGGGTGGTATGCCCCTGCCCCGAGTGGGGGACCACAGAAGGAGGGCATACAGGCTCTGAACACCTCTGGGACCCAGGCCGAGACTGCATCACTGCGCCGGTCTGCAGGCTCAGCCCCAGGGGCAAGGTGCTCCCCTTGAGAGCAAAACCAGCTTGGTAAGACCATGGCCCCGACTTCCTCACCACCCCCAGCCCTGTATCGGAGCCTCCTGAACAGCTGCTGCTTGGCCAGGCCTCTATCCGCAGGGTCCAGCCAATGCCCAACCCAAGCCTCACTCCATGGTCCAACCACAAGTCCGACTACGGCCACGCCAGGTGCCCATCAACCATGCAGATGAACCTGAACAGACAGGCCCTAAAGGGAGAGGACTGAGAGAAAGGTGCAAGAGGGAAGGAGGGGAAGCCAGGAAATTACCTCATCATCCCTCCACTGTGAGAAGTCGATCTTGAAGGAGGGCAGGGAGAACTGCTGGCTCACACCTCGCTTGTAGTGCACAGTCTCGGACTGCAGAGGAGGGCTCTTGGGGCTGTATCTGTGGAGCGGCCAGAGGGACAGGTAAGACTGCTGTGGGCACAGCCCCTGCGCCTTCAGGCCATGCCTCCACCTGACACCGGCAGGGCTGGCAGTCATCTGACTTCTGGGGACAAAGGAGCAGGGCCCAGCACTCCCTGATGGGCACAGGAAGTGGCCCACGTGGCACCTTGGCCCTCGCCCCTCCACTGCCTCACACAGCCCCACCTGGGTCACACCCGGGTGTGATTCTTCCAGAGCCCATGCCTGCCAGATCCCTCTGCTCCCCACCCAGAAGTGGCTCTGCCGTCCCACTGGGTTTTAGCTTGTTTGCGTTTCTGGATGAAAGTGGTACAAACCATGGAGACTGCAAGCGCTGCCCCAGCCTGGTGCCTGCTCCCCTGCTCTGGAAGAGACCCACGCAGCACTCCTGGAGCATCAATGCACACCCACACCATACGCAGCATGGGGCCTCTGCTTTAACATGCACACAACAGCCCCTGCACTCTTTCTCATCCTGGCACAGCCAGAAGCTGCCACAATCATCGTGTATGAGTCATATGCTCTCTGAGCTACTGCACAGGTTCCACTGTGGTTTGACTCTAAATGAGCCCATCAGGCCTCCTGGGGTACACAGATAGTCTCCGATATCATTCCATTCCCAACAGTTGTGCTTCAAGAACCACCCTTCTGCACACATATGAGCCACATGTTCAGTGCATCCCCAGCCAAATCCCTAGGACAGGGACGGCTGGCTCAAAGGGAACGTGCATTTTCGGTTCTGATAACTCTGGTGTCTCCTTATTCAGAGACCCACGGCAAAGGCCTCACCCGCCTCCCTTCATCCCACCCCCATGCTCACTGTCTGCTGGAGCCCCTCTAGGTCTCTTGGACAAGGACACTCTCAAGAGCCTTAGCATGTCTGGCCTGGGAGGCTGGGGTTGTCGCTGATGTAGGCACAAAGACAGGAGAGGCCCTGCCCTGGTCGCAGCCCAGCACAGGAAGGAACACCACAGGAAAGGCCAGGCTTGGGCTTCAGGAAAGGGCCAGGCTGCTCCTCAGGCAGACCTAGGCTCTCTTTTACCAGTTGTGGGATCCTGGACCACACCCTCCCCCTAGTCTGAGCCTCAGTTTCCCTGTTGGGAGGTGGGAGGGGCCAGAGAAGGAGCAGGAGGGTGGCCCGCCCTGTGGCTCACATGGGCAGAGCCTTTGCAGGCTAGGTGGTGGTCTGGGTGCCTGGACTCAGCCTCTGGCTCCTTTCCTGCTCCTCTTTGTTCTGGAAACATTGGTTCTGGGACCACCAAAGCCCAGCAAACCAGGAGGGAAAGCAGGCTCCTGCCAGGTCTCAGGAAAGGGGGACTGCAGCATTTCTATCGCCACCCGGTCTCCGGGGGTTGAGGACACAGCCCACACCAGCCAGGTCTGGCTGGTCATCCTGCTTTTTTAGCTCTTCTGGTGGCAGCAGGACCCTCTCCTAGAGCACACATACATGGTGGGCAAAGGCGTGACGCAGACGGCAGCAGAGCTTCCGGGCTGGGAGCGTGGGGGAGGCAGGCAGTCCACTTGCCCATCCCAGCCTGTCTGACCTCACCCTCGTCCCCTCTGTGGCAGGCCCCGGGCACCTCCCCAGAATCTGGGGCTCCTCCAGTGTGGTGGCCAAGCCCGAGGAAAACAAAAACCACAGGCCTGTGTCACAGCATGGTTCCTGACAGCTCCTAGTCCCTTGGAATTTCCTGGGTGACAGGAGCATCTTTTGTTCTAAGGAGGCGACTCTTAGGGGCTCCTGTACATGGGCTGGTCACCAGAAAGACCAAGCCATGATCAGAAGCCTGGAACTTTCAGCCCTACCCTGCATCCTCCAGGATGAGAGAGGGGCTGGAGATTGAGTTTTAACTGATCACACCTATATGACGAAGCCTCCATGAGACCCCCGAAGGATATGGAGGGCTCCCAGGTCACCGAACACAGGGAGCATGGCGTGCACAGAGAGGGCACGGGATCTCCACACCCTTCCCACACACCTCAACTGTGTACCCCTGCATCTGCTGTTCATCTGAATCGTTTGTAACGTTCTTTACAACCAACTGCTAACACAAGTAAGGTGTTTCCCTGAGTTCTGCGAGCCGTGCTGGCAAATGATCGAACATGAGGAGCGGGTGTGGGACCCTGATTTGCAGCCAGTCAGTCAGAAGTACAGGTGACCAGTGGGCTTGCAACTGGTGTGTGAGGTGGGGGCGTCTTGTGGGGCTGCACCCCTCACCTGTGGGGTCCTCATAACTCTGGGTAGTTAGCATCAAAACTGAACTGAATTATAGCACACCAGAGAACTGAAGGATTACTCGGTGTGGGAGAAACTGCCCCATATTTTGGTGTCAGAAGTGGAGTGTTGAGAGTCTAATGGGAGAATGTTTTTTTTTCCCCCCCATGGTCAAGAAGACAGACAGAAGGCTCACAGGGAGCCCGAGGCCCCCAGAGTCCACGGGACTCACACAGCCCTGCCGTTCAGGAACTCCTCCACTGCCTGGCAGTAGATGGTGATGGCCACGCGGGCGTCAGCATCAAAGGTGAACTCCAGGCTATACAGCACCCGGGGCTTCTCGCTGTCCTCGGTGGGGCTGTCGGCATCATCTTTGTACCTACCCAGGAGGCAGAGGGAGAAGCTGCGGGTCAGCAGGGCCATAGCCACAAGGCCCATTTCCCAACCCACATGGCTGAGGGGCACGCAGAACTGGCTGCTTGGACACATCCCACTTTTCTAGCAAACATGGAGACCCATTTCCTGTTTGGACAACAAGACCCAGCAATTCAGGCTCTGCCTTCCCTTTCTGCCACAGAGAAGGGGGTGAATGCTCTCACTTTAGAAACAGCCCAAGTCTAAAGCAGAGTTTCTCAGCCTACTAGACTCCAGGGCAGGATCGTTCTTGGCTGTGGGGCTGTCCTGCACACTGTGGGATGTATGGCAGCACTCTGGCCCCCCCGTTAGAGGCCAGGAGCACCCCACCCCACAGCTGTCTCTAGACCTTACCCAGTGCACCCTGGGGGAACAATCGTGGGCAAGAATTCCTGATTTAAAGGCTCGAGTTCCACCAGCCCTTTCCTGCCGTTGCCCAAGGGGCAGCACTGGGTGCTGCAATCCTGCTTGTGGCCTCTGGCTCTACAAAGAGGGAGCAGAGACGGGGCCCACGCAATCCCTCCTCCTCTTCCCCAGCATCAAACTGCAACCTCTGCCCCGGGCTGCACCCCACAGAGCCTCGGGCACCCCAGCAGGGGTCATAGGCTCACCTCACAAGCCGTAGGGAGTCTTTGCGGATGTTCACCAGGCTCCTCAGTGTCTTCACCGGCTCATGGGGAGCTGGAGTGACATAGGGAAACTAGGAGGGAAAAACCCAAAGCAATCCCAGATGACTCCCTCGGGAGTGGCAGAGGACAGCAAACAGGGACGATGGGGAACAGTCCCAGCTGATAGGCATTCCTGGGTTCTTGCTCCCGCATGAGAGGCTGTGCTGGACACTAGTGCACTGTTCTCATTTGCAGTGAAGGGAACCATGGGCCACATGGCTGGTACATGGGAAAGCTAGACTAGACAGAGCTGCCCCAAGTGGTCCGGCCACTCATCCCTGACCCCTAATACCAGGAAGGCCCCTCAGCAACCCAACCTGGCCGGGGATCCCTTGCCCCTGTCCTGTGGAATGTGGATTTCTTTTTGGGTTTTAAAGAAAGTCATCCAAGAGGCCTAGAACCACACCTGTAACTACATGCAGCTCCTACAGCCTGGACACACCAGCTCAATAAAGGTTGCTCTATCCCTCGGTGATCTGCCCCAGCTGCCGGCCTCTGAGGGGCACAGCCGGGACACACCTGTTCCAGGTCACATGCCCACCTCCAGCTCAACTACAGTCCTGCCAGGAGCTCTGCCTGCCTGGGGGTAACTCAGTGCCTACCTGTTCTCACAGCTGGACACAGACGTCCAAGGATGGTGGCCTCCCGCCCCCAGCTGGACACAGACTGCCGAGAACAGGGGCCTCCCACTCCTGCAGCCCCACAACCCGGCCCCAGACCTACCTGGACTGGGCGGCTGCCCAAGAAGTTCAGATCCATATTCTCTCCAAAGAGGTAACCTTCAGGGTGAGGAGTGTCGAATTTCTCACCTCCCATGAAAAAATGTGAAGCAAAGTAGTTTCCTATTTAAAAAGGAAACACAGTTGTAGATTGTGAGGCTCTCCACATTCCTGTGGGAACATCGGACAGCCATGCAGCCCAGCCCTGACAAAGGCTCCATCCTGAGAAATGGCCCCAGCTGCCCTGTGGCTCTTGCTCCAGCCACCCAGCCTCAGCCTTCCCAGGCAGCCTCTGCACAGCACCACCCCCATGCCCACCCTCTCCTGGACCACCCCTCCCTGTGCAGACTCAGTGGCCGGTTCTCAGCTCCAATGCCAGTCCTACCCAGGTACCTGTGCACGTGACCTTATCTGGAAGTAGGGTCTTTGCAGAGACAATCAAGTTAAGATGAGGTCATACTGGATTAGGGGGGCCCTAAATCTAGTGGCTGGTGTCTTTCTGAGAGAACAGAGAGGGAGATCTGGATACAGAGGCACACATAGAGGGAAGAAGTCCGTGTGAAGATGGAGGCAGAGATCAGAGTGGTGTGGCCACAAGCCAAGGAATGACAAGGAACACCTTGAGCCCCAGAAGCAGCAAGACAAGGAAGGATCCCTCCAGTGCCTTCAGAGGGAATGAGACCCTGCCAACACCCTGATTTCCAACTTCTGGCCTCTAGAACTGAGAGATAATAATACATTCTGTGTGTTGAAGCCCCTGTTCATAGTCACTTTTTAGAGCCACCCCAGGAAACCCATGCATGTTCCCTGACCCCAGCCCCATGTACTTTTTCATCCCTGCGCTGCCCACAGTTTAAAACTCTCTGCAGACCTGCAGTGTTACTCCCCTCGCGCCCCTCCCCTGTGAAGACTGAGGCTGTAACTGGCTCCCATTGTGCCTGGCACACTTGGGCACTCAATTCGCATTTCTCCTACAAGGGGGAATGAAAGGCATCAGATGCCAATCAGCTGCAGAGAACTGACCTCGTGATCCCACTGGGAAAGTGCCAGGAGTGTGGCCTCCTCCAGACGTCCTGACTGATGCCTGCCCACTGTTCCCCCTTTCCCTCTGGCACAGAGGACTTGAGAGGAAGACCACAGGGCCTGAGAACCTTGTGGATTCTCAGACTTCAGGGCACCTGAGCCCATGTGGGTCCTTCCTGAGACACCCCGTGGGAAATCTGGGCCCTTCAAAGCTACCAGGAACACCAGCAACAACCTGTGCCCTTCCTGAGAACCACAGCCCCCATTATGGCGGACACAAACATGGTCACAAAGACGGCCAGGCCCAGGGGATGAGCCTCCTTCCCATGGAGAGGGCCCAGACCAAGAGTCCAGCCCGACTGCTCTTGACTGCAGTAAATGTGAGGCAGGAGTGGGTGGGAGCCTAACCCCAACCCTAACCCAACCCTAATCCCAGTCTTGATCCCAACCCCAAACCATAACCCCAGTCCTAATCCCAAACCCAACCCTAACCCCAACCCCAGTCCTGACCCCCCAAACCTAACCCCAACCATAACCCCAGTCCTAACCCCAACCCACCATATGGACCACGAACCAGCAAGAGCCAACTGCAGCAAGAAGACAAGATCAAAGCAGCAATTAGTTAAACAAATGCAACACCCCGATTTTCTGGAATGCCCCAGAGCTGTCAGTCACACAGACCTGGATATGCTGACATGGAACGACGGTCATGGAATATTTCTTAATAAAAAGAACAAGCAGAATGTAGTGTAGGATCACGTTTTGAGGGGTGACCGCACACACTGAGACGTGCGTGATACAAGTTGTGGGGACACAGAGCCATCTGAGGGACGCGCCCAAGAGGCTGCCCTGGAAGCCAGTCCAAGATTGACAAGGCGGGGCCCCAAGCCCAGACCTCCTGCTGTGCCTGAGGCCTCAACGTGGTGTTCTCAAGTCAAGATAAAGAATTACTGAGATACAGGGAACCACAAGGACGCCTTCCCACATCACCTGGGGTTTCCACGCAGTGCATTTTAACATGCAGAGACCTTAAAAGTCCTATTTCCCACAACGGCCTATGGGGTGGGGAGCAGCAGACAAGGCTCCCAATGTCTGTGGACAGGTGCTCTCTGGACCCTGTCTCTGCACCCTGCTTCAGTCTCGGTTGGCCTTGGCCCATCCAAACTCGAGCCCAGATACTGGAGAAGGGGGGCACACAGCTCAGAGCTGCCTGGCCTGTGTGCCCAGACATGCCCAGTGCTCACTAACATGCACACGCACTCACCTCTGGAAACCACCCGCACTAGTCACCATGTGACACTCAAGTCAGGGCTGCAGCAACGTGGTGAGAGGGATGTGGGGAGGCCTGGTGACCCCACAGACTGGACAGTGACTCAACGTCTAGGATACCCTTCGTGGGGACAGGACTCCACCCTGCTGATGCAGACTCTGAGGTGGGATCTGGAAAAGGCCAGGCAGGGGCCGGCCCGTGGCTCACTCGGGAGAGTGCGGTGCTGATAACACCAAGGCCCCGGGTTCAGATCCCATATAGGGATGGCCGGTTCGCTCACTGGGAGAGCGTGGTGCTGACAACACCAAGTCAAGGGTTAAGATCCCCTTACCGGTCATCTTTAAAAAAAAAAAGAAAAGGCCAGGCAGCCCTGATGTGGAGGGAAGGCTCAGGAGAGGGCAGACTCGGGCACAGGAGCCAGTTCCCTGGCCCAGAAGCCTCCTGTCCAACCTCCTCCTGGGGAACCATCAAGGCTCAACCACTTTATGTGAAACAAGTCCCCAGAGTTTCCTCTCTGTGGGAAGAAGTGGCCTCCAAAATGGCCCCCAATGGGTCTCACCTCCTGGTAGTCATGTCTCGAGGGAGACTCCTCCCATGCTGAAGAGGGCGAACCCATGCCACCAGTCGATACTGTGGAAATGATGGAGTGACTGCTAAGGCTCCGGGAAGCCAACCGCCATGCTGTGAGGACACTCAAGCAGCCCCATGTGGCAAGAAACTGAGGCCTCTGCCACCACCAGGCATGTGAGTGAGCGAGACAGATCCTCCAGCCCCAGCCGTGCCCTCAGATGGCTGTGGCCCAGCCAACAGCTTGCTGCAGCACCCAGCTAAGCAACTCCAAAATTCCGGACCCACGGAAACTATGAGATGACAATCACTGCTATCGTGAGCTTCTAAATTTTGAAGTAATTTGTTACCCAGAAGGAGATAACTAATACTTCTGAAACCTAGTCTGGGTGACCCTTGTCATCCTCTCTGGGCTCCAGATTATAATATATTCCTGTAGTGCCTGTCCAGGTCAAAGCCACCAGCACCTTCTGCCTGGTTACTGCACCCAGCCCCACTGAACCCCAAAGTCTGCTTGCCATGGCCCACTGCTCTCGAACTTCCAGTGTCTTCCTAACCACAGTGGAATAAGTCCCAAACTCCTCCCCAAGCCAGCAAGGCCCAATACAATGCTCACCCTGCCAACCCATCCATACCTCAGGACCTTTGTCTTGCTGCTTCCTCTGCTCATCAAATTCTTCCCCAAGAGCTCTGCCTGGACCCTCCACCTCAGGTGACCGCAGCAAGACTGTTTCTGACCACTCCTTGTTAAACTTGTGCCCTCCACCCTACCTGCTGACCAACCTACCCACACCCCACGGCCCTGCTCTGCTTTATTCTTGTCCACGGCACTTTGTAGTCTGATGTGCCATACACAGGAGCCTCCAAAGTCTAAGTGTAGCTTTTAGTTGTAGTAACTTCGGAAGAACAAAAGCTACAAAACAAAATCTCTGGATTCGGAGGTAACAGGCGAATATTACTTCTCTGCCTTCTCTGTATTTCATAAGTTTTCCAAAATTAACACATTGTAAAACAAGAAAAATTATTTTTAGAAGACTTGAGACATGGAACAAGGATGTTTGTTACAGTAGTGGCTGTAATATAATAAAACCTTATCCATGTTCTATAATTAGATAATGATAATGACTCTGAATATGCTAAAAACCAGTGAACTGTCCACTTTATCTTTTTATTATTTTTTATTTTTTTGGTGGCTGGCCAGTACAGGGATTGGAACCCTTGACCTTAGGATTACAACACCACACTCTAACCAACTGAACTAACTGGCCAGTCCTGAACTATACACTTTAAAAGGGTGAGGTTTTGGGCCAAGCCCATGGCGCACTCGGGAGAGTGCGGCGCTGGGAGCGCAGCAGCGCTCCCGCCGCAGGTTCAGATCCTATCTAGGGATGACCGGTGCGCTCACAGCGCTCACTGGCTGAGCGCGGTGCGGCCGGTCTCAAAAAAATAAATAAATAAATAAAAATAAAAGCGTGAGGTTTTGAAGTACTTCTGGTCAAGATGGCAGAACAGACGGTCCCCAGCGTCACTCTCTCCCACAAATCAACAAATTTACAACTATAAAAAAGCAACGACAGCCAAGCTGGGGCCACTAGAGCTCAGGAGAAGAGGAGGACAGACCTATGGAGTGCATGAAGGTGGGAGAAGCCACAGTGAGAGGAAAAAAAAAAACCCGCTCAGACCATTTCGAGCCCCAGCAGTGTCCAGGCTGGAGCTGCTGAGCACATGGAGCAGGAGCCGGCAGAAGCCGCAGCTGTGTCCTTCAGATGAAGTTGCTTGGAGGCAGCAGGGGAGAAGAGAGCCTTGGTGACTCCCAGGCCAGCAAGACCACTAATAGGGTTCCCATGGACTCACATAGGAGTGAAGAGCCACAACAACTGAAGGAAAGGAGCCACTCAAAGGCTGGTGAGTCATTGCAAGGGACCAGAGCACAGACCATCCCATGGGAAGTGTTTGTAGCACGGGCAGTCGGGAAGACGGGCCCACTGGGAGAACACTGGGGCACAGCAAGGACAGCCGATCTGCCCTCCAACCAGTTTAGGATCACTCAGAGGAGACTGGTCAGGAATATAGAATTGTACAGGGTGAAGTTTGATGAAAAGACTCAGGCCCAGACAGGAGTTTCAGATCTCTCCAGAGCTGGAAGTACTTATAGTCAACCACTAAAACCTGAGCTGCACAAAAAGCCTTCCCCAGGAAATCAGCAGCAAAGCAGCAATCTAGCTCAACCACACAGTTCAAGTACTGGTCCCCACAGGAAGTT